TTAGAAATTAAATGTCATTGGATACCGGTTAAATGGTCTAGATATTGAGCGTTTGCCCGTGAGACCATAATATTTTTGGGTTCGAGTGTTATGCGCTGGATCGTGGATGCACACTGTCGAGGAGTCACAAACTGGTATGAAATGGCAGTCCAATGTTTTCAAATCTCATTAGAAAACTTAACAATTTTCACTACCTCGTACACATGATTAATTACAATTTCACTAGAAAGTTAATTTGAAATACTTAATTTAATGTCAACATTAAATATTAACTTACCTTGTTCAATTCCGCATTGAGCTACGCTTTTTTGTATGAATATAACTTGTAAATAATTTAAGAAATAATTAATTCTTATAAATTAGAGTAATATATTTTAAAGGGTAATGCTGTATTTTATTCCTTGATTATAGGCTAGTTGTATTTTGGTATATGTTAATAATTCATTTTTCAATTGCATAGGATTATCAAAATGTGTAACAGTCGTAGACGTTACCATTTAGGTAATCAGAATGCAAATTCAAACACAACTTTCCTCAGCTATTCAGAACTGAATACAATTCGGTTATTACCTTTATTATTGATTATTATTCAGGTTAATTTAAGTTAAACACTGGATTAGCAAACATTGCACAATTTGATGTGACCGGCTTGCGTTGTTTACCGAGAAAACAAGTGATTATTCTAATCTTTTTTTAAATACTAATATTTGAACGAAGAATATTCTTTTCGATAAATTCTCTCTTCAGGTTCTACAATTCATATATCCAAATTAATAATCCGAATAAATGGCCAGGTTAAAGGCTATGTGTACAGAAGAAATATCTCCAAATCCTACTCCTCCCTTGGCCAACCACAAGGCCAATTAATGAATAATCATCTTAGCTATTGTATGACCTAATTTGACGTACGACCTTTCGTAGTCAAATGTATTTGTCTCTCTTATCTTTATTCACAAATCTTTGTATTATTATTATTGTTTAAATATCATTATTAATCCCCCCTAAACATGATTCATTCACATCGCATTGATCCCTCCTTATTACGTCTTACTAATTTTTCACACATTTAGTCTTCCACTTGATCGAATTGTAATTGCACTATCATATATCTCTCTCACTCTATCTGACCCATATTTATATTCTGATCACAGATCTTAAATTATCACTTTACATATATACAGATTCAAGTGGTAACATTCCATATAAGTCGCTATCAACATTAACAATTTTATTCTATTTGGTTTTTGACATTCCTAAATTTACATGCATTAAACGATGTACATTGCCTTTAACCTGGCCATTTATTCGGATTATTAATTTGGATATATGAATTGTAGAACCTGAAGAGAGAATTTATCGAAAAGAATATTCTTCGTTCAAATATTAGTATTTTAATATGATTGGGATTTTTTAAAATAAATATTTATTATAGAAGGGGTTTCGGCTCGAGACTGGTAGGTCCTGGGTTCGAATCTCGCTCGCGAGAGTGGGTTCGTGGATGCGCACTGCTGAGGAGTCCCATAATTGGACGAAACGGCCGTCCAGTGTTTCCAGGTTTTCCATGGTGGTCTAGCGTCAATTGACTCACGCTTTAAACTATAGTAAATAAATATTTCTTTTTTCATGTGGATCATTGTCAATTCTTAATTGAAAGTTCTTCATACATGAAATAAATTTTCGCAAACATTTAACATGGATTATTTTCTGTATTCATTCTATCCAATTTTATAACTTATAGGAATATTCGTCAAGATTAGAACAATTAACTTTGACTAAAATTGGGCGCCGACTATCGAGAAGTTTATAAATGTGAAAATTATATTTGAAACAATCTCAGCGATTGAAGTTTAAATAATTTTAACGTTTCATCCAGCTAACTTGTCTGGACTTCTTCACGGTAATAATCAAAATCAAAATCACCAGAGAGATGTATAGTATTTTTTAACGAACATATCAAAATCTATACTACGTTAATCCAATCATATTTAGATACTTAATTTAGTAAACATGATAATATAAGTCAGTTAACTGATAATCATGGATCGTGGATGCGCACTGCTGAGGATTCTCACAATAAGACGAAACGGCCATCCAGTGCTTCCAGGTTCTCCATGGTAGCCTAGCTTCAATTGATTCATGATCTCAACTATATAAAATTTCATAACTGTTCAAAATAAAATTTAAAAATAACTTGCCTACTTATTTATTTAAACAAAACTTACAAATTGTAATAATAATAAAATTTATAATTTATAGAATATTTGTGTCATCTATATTACATAACTGAAACTACACATAAACACAAATATATTCATATTCATTATGTACTTAGATTATGAGTAAAAATAGGAGAACTCTTCTGTAATTTACATAGCTGAAACCATGAGTCAATTGAAGCTAGACCACCAAGGAAAACCTGGAAGCAATGGACGGCCGTCTCGTCCTATTGCGTTACCTCTCAACAGTGCACATCCACGACCTCGCCTCGCGAGACTCGAAACCAAGACCTACCAGTCTCGTACTAGAACACTTATCCGATAGACCACATCTAACTTTTACTATTTGCTAATGTTATTCTAATATTAACCTGTTCAACAGTAAATTAATGATTACCATTGTTACAACATGTTTTGAAACATATTCAATCGTTAAGCTATTGAAATGTTTTATATGAACGTTTTCTTTTTTTTTGTTAAAAAAATAAGGGGAAGAAAATATAATTCTAATATGTTGGGAAATCTTCAACAGGATTTATCATGTAAACTATGATTTCTTCAAACAAACAAAAAATGAAGGAAGGAAAGAAAGAAAGAAAATTAAATCAACAGTACATTTACTAATATACATAAATAGATGAAAATGTTTACGACTAGAAGAGAGTGTAGTATATTAAAATAAATAATAAATGAAAATAATGTAATGTGTTTCTAGGTCAAGGTTATTGGTAGTACTTCATTGTGCACCTTTCACATTTGACATTTATTCAATCTAACAACAATATAGGCAGTTATATATATATATATATATATATATATATATATATATATAATGGATTAACTTTCATATGGTAATATGTTTCTCTTCTTATAGTACATAAGATGTAAATTAAAAGCAGAATACAATTTATGGTTTATTCAATGTTTCAGTTTACTTGATGCTTCTTTTTACATTTACTGTAAATCATTATTTCATTTTTGTATTTGTATTTTTTTTTAATAAAAAATATCTTTTTCTCTATCACAAGGGGATTTTGTGGAGATTTTAGTAATTTTTTTAAATAGTTAAGATCATGAGTCAATTGAAGCTAGACCATCATGGAAAACCTGAAATCATTGGACGGCCGTTTCGTCCCATTGTGGGATTCCTCAGCAGTGAGAATCCACGATCCCGCCTCGCAGGATGAATGTTTTTATATTCTTACTAAGTCACTTCATTTGGATTATTAGTTTGTTTAGCAAACATTTGGTTTTTAGATTAAAGAAACAAATGTTTGGAGAGAGAGCCTATAGGGATTAAATAATAATAGTTTGACAGTTGAATTCACGAGTTGATCTAAGCTGAACCACTATTGGAAACCTGAAATGAGTGAACAGCCGTTTAGTCCTAGTAAGGAACTATTCAGCAGTGTGGATCCACGGTCCCACATGTGAGACTCAATTCCAAGACTTTCGGTCTCACTGAGCCGGCATCAAATGGTGTCAATACACATTAACCATTCCATGAGGAATGGTTATAATGAAATGAATAATATCCACTTTGTAATATTTTTAGTGTTTCCATTAATTATTGTTTATTTTGAAGCAGAATAAGGTGACATATATATTATAGCTGTATTCATTACAAAGTCATATAGGAATAGATATTGTTGAACAGTAAAATCAATAGACAATATAAGAAAATAAAAGATTTTTGTGCAATAAATGACTGTTATACTGATATATATAGTGTATTCTTTCATTCGTTTGAATTGTTTTTTTGTAGGATATTTATATATAAAGTTGACAGAGTGATAAGTCTTGTTCATTGAACGCTATACTCGGATTCTAATCTAGCCTTGTACCCCCAAGCTAGATCTACACAGTGACTTGAACACAAGAGAAAAAGCACAAAATATGCGAGAAGAACTGTATTCCAAAAGTTCATTTATGTACAGAAAATATAGGGTTTTTATAGTATTTTAGAAGTTCTTGGGTTTTCCTGAAAATTCTAAAATACTATTAAACATAGTAGTAGTGTAATAATCAGCCAATCAGAACCTCTATATGTGACTTTTCATTTTCTCAATATTTCTAGCAAGACGTCTAATGAAACGTTGATTGGATGAAATGCTTCTTAATGTTTCCTGAGCTTGTCATGTCTATTGCGAGAAATTTGCAGGATCATCCCAACACAGGGCAAGTGAACATGGGATTTTTATATCATAAAAAAATGAATATAATCATGAGAAATTTAGTTTATTCCAATAAGATTATGTGTAAAAGTGCAAGTGCAAAAAGAGACATATTGATGAAGGATACTTGATAAAATAAAGATATCTATATCGGTTAAGTGCTCTTACGCGAGACTGGTAGGTCCTGAGTTCGAATCTCGCGAGTGCAGGATCGTGGATGCGCACTGTTAAGGAGTTTCATAATAGGACAAAACGGCCATCCAGTGATTCCAGTTTTTCCATGGTGGTTCAGTTTCAACTGACTCATGATCTCAACTATGAAAATATCTATATACACATGATAAATATCTTTTTTTTTTCTCTTTTTAAAGATAACTATTATTATTGTAGGTTACTGAATCTTTATTGTTTCTTTTCCTATCTATTTATTTTTTTTGTGAAAAATGGAAAATAAATCGGTATTTTTTTCAGTCACGAGCTTCTCCAAACCCCCTTTATCAATGTATATTAATAATAATAATAATGATAATAATAATAATGATTATCATAAATCTTGATCTGTTTTTTAAAAAAAAAATAATTTCATTTCTATGTTTTTTTTTTATTATAGGAAGTGGTGTATCTGAGGAAGATACAAAATTAGCTAAAAATGATAAAAATGCTATTGATTTTGTATTCGACTATTGTAAATTATGGTGTAAAACATGTAAAGATTTAGTATTCACTTTAGAAAAACGTGCAACTGCTGGTAAGTAATAATAAATGAAATAATTTCTAATTCATAATGTTTAATGATTAATTAATTTTTTTTTAAATGGTATTACACTATATATTTTCGTTATAAATTTTATATATCCCTTAAATAGGAAGAATACATATTTGTAACATTTCAGCAAATGAATTTGAAGTTAATCTAACATTTCGCCTAGCAATCTGGTCCAAGCTTTTTTCAAGGAATTTTAAAAGTTTGGAATAGATTGTTAGGCGAAACGTTGGATTTAATTTAAAAATTCATTCGCTGAGATTTTACAAATATATTATTTCAATAATGCAATGAGAAGACGAAGATTATCAGAACTATGTGATATATTAGCGCATTACATTTCGAACAATCTGATCACACATATACTTGTTAAGAACATTTATATATAAAAATACATTATTTTATCATTATTATCCTTGTCTATTCTTACCCCTATTTCCAGTCTAGTTGACCTTTTAATTTTCATATAAAAATGTCTTAACAAGTATATGTGTGATCAGATTGTTCGAAATGTATTGCGCTAATATATCACATAGTTCTGATAATCTTCGTCTTCTCATTGCATTATCGAAATTTATCAAAGGGACTAATTGCTTTAAATATATTATTGCTTATTAATGTCTTACATCAACTCGGCGGCCAAATATTGTGAAACTATTCGTTTTAATTTAGACGAAAATTCTTATATATTTATGTATCCCTTTTTTTATTATCATATAATTTACATTCTCTATGATATTAATTTAAATTATAAGAATTTTAGTCCTATAGATATTTATTTATGGCCTAAATAACTCATTGGTAGCATAATTGATTGGGATACTGGGTGATGTATGCTCCAAAATCATAGGAAAATCAATATTAGTTCATAACCACATTCTGATTACAAGTGCTAATCATCACATGGTGTTTATTTTATTTTTATGGTTGCAATCAAAATCAACATATAATGAATGCTATACTATGTCACTTCTTTTAATAGTACTCACAAAATTATATCAGTAATATTGGCTTAAGAAATATGATATTAGTTGGTACTTGTAAGGACGGCTCGTCGGTAGACTCTAGGAAGCCTTAAGAAGCCCAGGAATAGCCACAGACATTCCATCCAATCACTGCTAAAGGAATGTTCTAGAATGTCGACGTGTAGCTTCCCCATTGGATGGATTAGCATGACCCCTATGTGTCTATTGGTTGACCTAAATGATGATTTACATTCAGCCAAAAATCTATAAATACACAAGATTTCTGTGCTATATTTTGACACTGATTTGGTGAATAAACTCCCTACTTACCAGTCTTTGTCTTCTCTCTTTTGCGACGTTGCGGGTTCTATCGTTCAAGTAGACGAGTAGTTCGCGGCATATTAAGAATCAAGGATCTAGATATAACAGTACTCAATTATTAATCATCATTATGTACTTTCTGCTGGTATTTAGAATCATTAGAGTTTTCATAAAGAACAAATTTTTTGAACATACTATATACATATCACAAAACGATGTGTGATTTTAGCAATATTTCTAAAATTAAGAATCAAAGGAAATAGTTGTATACAGCAGAATATAACACCTAATTAAAAAAATGACACTTTATATTTAGATTTATTCTATGCATCTGTTTTAAACTTTATTTGTTTGAATAGGTGCTTAACATTTGAATATAGTGAAGTACTATTGAAATAATGTTAAGAAAGTGGCAAGACTATGATTTATGATTGAGCCAACCAAATTTAAGACAGCAGGTCATTCATTTGGTTAAATAGAGTTTCGGCATTATAGCTCATGTCTTTCAGTGATGAAAACACTAACTATCAACTGTAAATGTAAATCTTAATTCCTCATATCGGTTTATAACCTTCATCTAGCTGTAGTATGCAGGTAAACGTTCTCAAGGTCATTTTGGCGTCGTTCAAAAGTCGTCCATGAATTACAGTCCCACCAAACATGTTTATTGACGAAATTCTCAATTTTAAAAAAATAAAGTTATACTTTTTAGCACACTAGTTAGGATTAACTTACCGCTTGTTGATTAGGGACTATTAAACACAATCTATTAGTTGAATGAAGTCTATATTGCTTTCATTAAATTGATTTTTGTTATATAAGAAAGTATACATTATTTAAGTGATCATGAATAAGTATGATCAGATTAACATATTGATAAAATTAATGCATTATTATAATCTACATAAACTTCAAGAGGCTTAGATAATTCTGCTGACGCTTATGTAAGAATGTATGTTACAAAATTGATATGACTTTCTCTATTTCATACTTGAATGAAATTCATCAGTTTTCGTGTGTCTTCTGTATGTTTTCTAAATGTAAAATTGACTCTTTATAAAAAATTATAAAATTAAACTCTCCTATCTTATAAGATAGTTCATCGATTCTTGTGCTCTGAGATGATATATCTGCTTGAATTGAACTATCCTATACACAGCAATTTGGGATGAAATACATCTGAGTTCGGTCATGTTGGCATGATAATTGACCTTACAAAAACAGTTTGTTAAATATTAATAGTCCTTCACATCAATTCTGACATTAAAGAATGACTTTTAAATAGAAAATTAAAAGAGATATTTTCTATTATCATTTGATTAATTTAAACAATTTAACATGTTGCCTACATGTCTACTAACAACTAATGTAAAAAGTTAATTAGAATTGGTTATATATATTACAAAATCTTCTATACTGTACTAATTATTATTAATAGTTGAATTCATCAGTCAATCTAAGCTATATCACCATTGGAAACATGAAAGCTCTAGACTTACGTTTTGTCTTAGTATGGGACTCATCAGAAGTGCGCATTCACGATATAATTCAAAAGTTTACATTATTAGCTACCTATAGAATAAGCAATTACTGATTATTTATTATATTAAGAATTATCATGTTAAGTGAAAACTTTGATTTTTTTATAAAATTTTAATTATTTCAAAAACTTGTAAAATTATTCAATGAATAAAACGGCTTACCGTAAATGTCGTTTGAATGTTTCTCGTTTTTATTCACTTGTTTTTGTAAATTACTAATCACTATTTTACACCTTTTTTTTATGTTTTCTAACCACAAAAATAATTTTTTTCAATTTGTGAATTTCATTGGTAATTAAAAAACAAAACAAACATGGTAATCATGATAATACAGAAAATGAAAGTACACGTATTATTATGAAACAATTTCAATTATTGGAATCAAATACAATTAATCAGGTTAGTTGTTAATAATGCTAATTTTATATTGAAAAATTATTTTAAAAAAAAAAGAGAAACGAAATATTAACTATTCATTTTCATTAACATTCATATATAAAGTAATTTTATTTCAATGTTAATTATGAACAGAAATTTATTATCAGAAGGGGTTGGAGTTAGATATAAACACTATCGGATATCGGCTCAATGGTCTATCGGTTAAGTGCTCTGGCACCAGACTGATAGATCCTGGGTTCGAATCTCGTGAGGCGAGGACTTGGACGCGCACTGCTGAGAAGTCTCACAGTAGGACGAAACGGCCTTAAGGAAGTGCTTCCAGGTTTTCCTTGGTGGTCTAGGTTCAATTGACTTTTGGTTTCAACTAAGAAATTTATTAGCATATAATCATCTTCACTGCTAAATTTTTGATGTAAAGAATAGGGTTATTAGTTTCACTCGAAAGATCAGAATAGTTTACTATAAGATATATTTCTGGATGTTATTATGTTTAAAAAATATTTTTAGTCATATAAAATTGATATTATGATTTGTTACATCCTAGATCTGTCTACTCACTTTCGTGCCGAGGATAACTTATCTAATGTTGATTAAGATCTTGACGCGATGGGCTGACTGGATTAACCTTGAGGCTAGTATGTGTGAGTTCGAAGTGAGGTTAGAGAGAAGAAAACTATTATATCCCTGATTGGTTGACAAGTATGCGCGAGAGAGAAGATAAGACTACTGGAACACTACTCGCTGTATTCCAAATTCCAATCTGGTACCGGATTTCAGATTAGTGTAAAAAAAATACATGAATAAATAGATGACTAACCTGACCACAACGTGCAATAATCAGGAAAATACAATTACGGCCAAAACTGGGGGATTAGAGTAGAAATAGAGCACAAAAGGTCACGTCTAAATTACAATAGCTTTGGAACAGAAAAAGCTATGACAGTGAATCCTACATCGAACGAAAGCTTATAATCTGTAGAATAGACAAGGGGCAAAAGTAAATGTTACTGTTATACAAGCTTTGAATTAAATGAAATAACGTCCTTAACAATAGCTTCCGTAGTTTGTTAAGGCTTCTTGTTTCGCTGTTCATATCATAATTGAATGATTAGACTGAAATAAATATGAAACATTGAAAATCATTTCATTAGTCTAGTAATAGATTTGTCGTTGTTAACTCTGAAATTCATGTGTTTCTATCTTTTAATAGATTTATGAGTACATACTGTTGAAAATTCAGTTTTGTTTTTCTACGTATCTTCAAAGGTTATTTAAGTGAAATCAATTCTTGGTGTAAACTAATCTAATTCTAAGCAGAGATGGATAGTGGCTAGCAGTGGAATCCAGGACGCGCGTTTCGTCCTACTTGGGACTCGTCAGCTGGATGTACCTGCATCTCAGAGTTGATGTTCACTCTGGGACTCGAACCCAGTACCCTCGCTTCAAACGCCATCGCGTTATCCACTCGGCCACTGAGTCCTGATAGCCACTTGCTTGTGCGATGGGGTGAAGTTTGAATTCAGACTGAATTAGTTTGAATTAGAGACTGACCAATTGCAGTCCTAAACACATCGATGGGAAGATCCAAACAAACAATACTAAGTGAATTTAATCTAACTCTAATTTACTAGTGACAAAACTTTCTTCTCAATATTTCTTGATAATTTTAGTTACTATTTATGAATACTGATAAAAAGATGTGTACAACTTGTTTGAGACATATTGCATGTTTTAGACTAATCATTTTGTTAAAACAAGTAAAGTAACTTACATCCTTAATAATGTACAGTAAAGGAACTTACTCAGAATACTGAGAAATCGATACCTATGAATGTAAACTAAACGATCAAATAAATATGAGACAACATTATACGCGAAACGTATGGTCTATACAACAGTTCAACAGTTGAAAACTGGCAGTAAAAAGGCTTCAAAGATCTGTTAAGTGTGTAAGCAATAATTCAAATTTCATTCACTCTACTTTGTAGAACGAATTAGACTAAATATCGCAATGTATATGTGTTTGTATACCATAAAGCAATTGTCAGCTCAACTAAGTCATAATCTGCTTTTTAATGTATTAGACTAAACAGAATAAATAATCAGTCAGTTATAGCATATTTATTAATGTTTGGTATTGAACTAATAATAGAAATTACTTGGATAGTTCACATATCAGTTAATCATATAGAAGAAACTTATCAGTACGCCATAATACATTTATAGATGAAAATAATTGACACTAGTGATTGTTGTTTCATTGGAACATATTGAAAAGCAGACATATTGTGGGTTTTATCAATGTTTTCAATAGTTTGTCCCGGTGATGATGAATGATTGACAAAATTTTAATGAAATGTTGTTTACTGATAAAGACATTATGAAGTGATATATAGTTAGATTAACATTCGAATTTGTTAAGGTGCCTATAGATAGGTAACCATATGTTTTTTACATAAATTGAAAAATTACTTATTGATTAGTTCTATAGTTTATTGTTAGTTTAACACTTTATGAGCAATCATTATTCCAGGTAGAAGTGAACTAATCATCTTCATGTCTCACAGATAGCTTCATAGTATTAGGTTCCGAGTTTGAAAATTCAACTGTATATGTTGCCAAATTCAAATAAGGATTAATAATATTATAAACCAATTCGTTTTCTAAATACTGAAATTTTATGATTGTAATAGTAAGCATGATTCGATTCTGTCATATTAAAGTGAAATTTGATTATTCCATATAACAATAATAAATAAAGTTGTTCAAAAGTTCTAACTCAATTAGGATATAACAATAGAAATAAGATTGATTGTTAAGGGAATTTGCACATATATATCATTCAAAATCATATTATTAACTTCATTTTAATACTGAATTCCATATTGATTGTCCCGTCAGTTATATGAATGATTTCTTATTTTAGATACTTTATTGTGAGATGTAATATAATTGTTGATGACTAACTTATTGATGAACAGGTAAATGAATTAACTATTGAAGAATACCAGTGAAAAACTGGAGGCCTTGGATGGCCATTTCCTCCTAGAGTTGGATTCCTCAGAAGTTCGCATCCACAAACCCGCACCCGGGATTCAAACCCAGCTCTGCGAGTCTCGCGCATGAACGCTTATTTTTTGACCATTGAACTGGTATCCAACGGTGTTAATGTCTAACTTCAACCAATCCATGATGTCACACGATTATCTTCCATTGTCTTCGGTAGGTAACTACCTTACCCAACGCGATTGAAATTCACTGATAGAACGACATCGTGGTTTAGTTGAAGTTAGACATTGACATTGTAGAATGACGGTCCAGTGGTTTATTGGTTAAGTGTCCTCCCACGAAACGGAAGGTACTGGGTTTGAACCTCGCGTGCGAGATCGTAAGTGTGCACTGCTAAAGAAGCCCGTATTAGAAGGAAACGGCTGTCTAATACTTCCAGGTTCTCAATAATGGTCTAACATTGATTGCTTCATGATTTCAATGAAATTCAACAATCTCCAAAATGAAAATGTTGGAGAGTAATGGAATGAAATCGATGGCAGTTGAATGAGTTCTTACTTATGACAGCCAGTGGAGTTAACTTATCGAAAAATTCATCTGGATTTTTTACTTTGGTAGGTTATAGTCACCAGCTAGTCAACTGAACAATGATAAAAATCAATGCAACTGATGCATACAAGTTTGAATTTATGAGTTTAGATTCTTAGATCAAATGATACATTTATTACTCAAAACTTAAAACTTTTCGGCTCTCTCAGGTTCAATGATTTATGTACGCAGAACTGACGTTGCAGTTGTTAACTTAAACAAAGTCAACTATGTATGATGAGTTTCTTGAAAGTTATTCTCAATATACAAAATAGTAGCTTTTTAAAAATTACAAGTTTTTCGATTAATAACTTCATTAATGTGACTTTATTTCAGAATGGTGCTCCGTATAAAAAACAAACCCTCAATTTATGCCGAATGGTAAGTGTTGAATATGTTTTATTACTATTTGTGTTAAATATGTTTCTGTAATGATAATGTTGAACTCTCTAAGGTAGGTGGTTTCATTGAGTAGCTTTCAGTTGTATTCTGAAAAACATCATTAGTGCTAACTTCATGAAGAAATCTGTTAGTTATTAAAGGTGCAGCGTAATTTTAATAAACTATAACATTGGTTTCAATGTTAATTTTTACAACGTAGTACATGTTTCGTGAAAATGAGGTGATTGCTCTTAAATTCATACGTTTGAATTTCACTTTCTATTGGAGATGACCTTATATATATAATTAGATAGATTCAAGCTAAACCACTATAGAAAACCTGAAAGAACTGAACAGTCGTCTCATTCTAGTATAGGACTCCTCAGCAGTTTGCATTCATGATTATGCACGCAGGATTCGAACCCAACACCTCTGATCATGCAGGTGAACGCTTAACCTCTAGATCACTGAACTGGCAAATGAAAATCAAACCATAAATAATAAAAAAAGGAAAAAATTTAAAGATAGTTCATAGAGTGATTTTATCATCGTTTGGAGGTTGTCAACTAATCGGATTAGACGATTCATGTTTCAATTATGTAGAAAACATAATAGTAATTGAACCTAAAGTTGAAATCTGATGCTTGTATATTTTCCATTCAATATAAAAATCATTGGATAAGACGATCGTGACACAATGCTTAATAATCAATTCAATTCAAGAATGTAAATTTAAGTAAATTAACTTTTTAATTCGATGAAATACCTATTAGAATTATTGAAGCGAAATATGAAGTTTCCGCTACATTGATTGAAGTTTGTTTGATAAAATCAATGTACCACTAAGGTAACAAAGTAACCACCTAAACATTGATTGTATTTTTAATTTTATTACAAATTATTTTTAAAAAAATGTTTAATATTTTGGTAAATATATTCTAGATGATTGATCATTGTAAAGAAGTTGAAACGAATAATTCCAAACGATGCAGAGAACTTCTTGAAGTAAGTGTTCTACAGAAAGTGTCTTACAAGATTTAATTTGTATCTAAATTTATATATATTTATTAAAGTATTATTGTTTTCAGTGATTTGAAAAAGCTGTTTGATAGACTAAATATACTTATCAAACCCGAGACCAACTGTTCATGGCCACATAGACGGATGTTTTTATTATTCTGATCGTATTTAGTGTATTATTATACTATAATAATACTACTACCTAGCATTGTACACCTTGATGAAGGGTAACTAGGCATACACATTATATATGGAAACCTGAAAATCGGATAAAGTTTCATAAACTCATTTGCCAAAGTAACTACTTTTGTTCACTATTTTTTTTGAAATCTGGTGAGAGATTATGTACATTAATGAAGTGATCAAATCGTTCGCTTATAGTATTTTTGAATGACAGTGAAGTAGTGAATAATTAACCTTTAAGCGAGACGTTAGAATTACACCTGATAGGAAATAGTACTAAAAGTGTTTTTATTGTCCTTCAAGTCATTTGTTAGTCACTTAACTTTATCATCGTCTACATTGAACTGAACAATGTTATTTATTCGCTTCAACTGTATAATATTTTCTTTAAGTAAGAAAAATGTTCCGGCTAAATTCAAACAATAATAAATTAATCTCCGGATCGTGATAAAAACTAGTGGGTTAACAGATTTCGAGAAGAAACTTCCAATTGCCTCGTAAAGAAAAAACGATAGTTTTGGTTGAAGGTTATAGCTAGTGAATTTCTGTGGATCTAGTAGATAAAATGCTCAATGGCAAATATTCAAATGTATTTATTGTTGTGTGGTGTAGTTCAACAATTGTCTAACTTCAGTAATGATCAGCTGTTTTCATTGATGAAGTTATCTAATTAATATGCTATGTTTTGTGATTTACTTATCAACCTACAAAGTGTTATTTTTGACTACACAATAATGAGTTCAATGAGTTTCCTATATTTGATTGACATTGACAATTACCTCCTTCAATAAAAAATCTTTAAATATGTAGCGACATCCTCAAATGAACTTACAGTATATCTTATTTTCAATTTTAGAAAGTAATTGTGTCTTGACATTTAATAGCATAGCATTTAGATTAGTTTGGAGGGTGTCAACAGTACATCTACTTAGTTATTCAAAGTAAAAGACTTAAAATGATCATATATTTGGACCAAAAATTTTATATTTTTGCAAACATTTCACTTATTTAGTTAATTCTTGGATGATTTCAACTTACATGACATGAATGGGGAACAAATAGAGTTTATTTTAGTATTAATAGTAATATATTAAGTCTTCTTGATAGCATTAGCATATAATTTCTAACTCGTTCATATGCTGCTATTACTTTGTTCTAAAGCTTAAATCTTGCTATTAGTTACTTTTTCTACATTTAATGACCTTTAGGTACTAATGGATCAAATGTATCATAAATGTCCAACTGCTCACATGTTAACACATTTTTATTGCTTATTTACCAAAGTTAGATCTATTAAAAAGTGTCCCTTTGGAAACGTAACCATTATTTTATTATTCCTGAGATATATTAACAATATTCAACTAATGTTACGAACCGTACTTTGTATTAACCGAAATGGGTTTTTTTTATATCGTAGAATCGAGTTTGAAATTTTATCAATTCAGTAACTGTTTTCTGTTACTGTATAGCAATTGAAATCTTATGTATTAGCTTAAATATAGAACCTATTGAGTATAGTCAAATTAAAATCCACAGAATCTAACTTAGTCATATATTTATGTCATTCAGTTGATGATGATTTAACTGATATCCAAAAGTATCACTTTAAAACAATAGCGTATAGCTTTATGTCCCGGTATCTGACTCCAGTTAAATTGTATGATGATTGTTGTCAAAATATACATGCCTCTAACCCTCGTACACGTTAGAGAATAATGAAATGAGATTAGCCAAATACGAGAATGAATTTTGAATATGTATATTTCATACGTCCATCGATCCGGACAGACAATCAAGGAAACGATGTGAAGCGCAGCGGAGAAAGCAAGTGAGGTAACTCCATTTGAGCAAGCATGACTTAATATTTATATTTAGACCAAAAGTAAATTACAAACACGTGATGAATGAGGCAAACAACTAACATACATTCGATCATATAAAATCAGAGTTCATAATCGAATAGTTGGCATAGTCAAAATGTGGCTTGAGAAGAATGAATAAATTGGTCTGTCCGAAAGCTGGAATAACCTATGTCGATTTAACATAGTACCAACCACTATAAAGCTCCCTTCTATGTAGAAAATGCGAATAATAACGTAAATTAATTATAAAGTAAACCTATATTAACTGTCCCCACAACATGTAGCTACTAATGTATTACTAAACACGAAGTTCCTTTAAAAGCTTTTCTCCTAAAAATCTTACAGTAAGGTAGAAATACAATTTATTTCTTATCATGAATTATGATCAATTTATATACAATAATTTAATCAACTATAAATATAAATGTAAATTATTTTTCAAAATTCGTAACTAAAAATAAGAAAATAGTTAATGATAGTAGAATCATTATAAGCAAAAATGGATAGTGGCTAGCAGTGGAATCCAGTTTAACGCGCGTTTCATCCTATTTGGTACTCGTCAGCTGGATGTGCTTGCATCTCAGAGTTGATCTTCACTCAGTAGCTGAGTGGACAACGCGATGACATTTGAAGCGAACGGTGCTAGGTTATTACGTGTATTAATTAACAAAACGATTATTTTACATTTTGGTATGCCAACACGAACTGATGTACGTAAGTATGAAGTTCTACGTTATGACTAACTGATTGACTATTTTACATTTATATCATTTGTTTTAATGAATTAAACAAAGTTTCTTCTAAAACATTAGAAATTGAATAAAAGTGTTTATTATTTCATAATAATTTGATTTTTATAACTGGAATCTTGCATTAGTTAAAACATCATTTACTGATTAATCACTTTATCAAATTTTCCTAGGTTTCATTAATTCAATTCAACGGAAATAAAGTCCACAAATAGTTGACCAGAATTCAATTTGTTCATAGAAGTTATATGCATTCTTATATAATCAATAGATCATTATGAACAGCTATTTAATAGATTGAATATATATTTGTTACTAATTAGAAAAGCTAGAGTAACTATACTAATCAGGTCTTATAACCTTCCTAATAAACTAAAAGATATATGACATCATATTTTGCTTGATTTTTTGCCTGTGAGAATAAGCTTAACATATAATTAAAACGAATGTTTAAGAAAAACCAAACAGACAGTTGTAATAATTGATAAAGTTCGATGGATTTAGCCAAAACTTGATACAACTTAATAAACATTATCCAGTATTAGTTATATGTGATATTATGTTTGGGAATTAATTGAAAGATTTATAGGTTAAATGAACAAAATGATAAGCTTAAAAGTAAGGTATGTAGATATGTAGGATCTAGGCATACTTTACATTTTCTTGGTGAATTTGAAGTCAAAACATAAGGATTTCAACAGTGAATGTATGTTAGAATCAAGCAAATCTGAGGCAGATATATGTATAAATTTATCCTAACGTTCATCATTTTTGTGCCCCTATGAGCTATAGTACTTTTCTAACTTTATGTTGTTTTTAATCGTTTTGATTAAGATATGGGTGGCATTGCTTTTAGGTAAAATAGGTTAGAAAGGCTCTAAATTAAATAGAAATTGTCATTAACCAAAAACGTTTGTTTGGACTCAGTAATGAAAAAAGTGAAAATATAGTCATTTTATTGCACAGTTTTGTGGTATGAAATATAGCTATATCGAGTAACTAAGATATGTTTCTAAATTACAACTCCTTAGATGTCATTTGAGTGATAATGTCAGTCATTAGACTGTTATTAATCAATTTTCAGAATAGTGGAGAGTAAGATAGCCTCCGTTACATTGGTAAAACTAGCAATAAACTCCTTCATTGACATGAAATATCCTGTCAGGATTACGAGCCAATATAAAACAGACAACCATTGAGAACTAGGAAGGACTGAAGGACTGTTTTGTTCCAGTATGCCACATCTCAGCAATGGACATCTACGACTCAGAATAGGTGATTTCGAGCATGAACGCTTAATTTCAACACCATGGAGCCGGTATTCAAAGGTGTATACGTCTGACTTCATCCAACTAACGGTATTACATGATCATCTCCGATTGTTTTCAGTTGGAAAATTCCTCATATATGATACAGTTAACCTTGACTAGCTACAATTTCTGAACGAAATCTAACAGTCTTCGCAACTCTATTTTGATTAAAATACCAACTTTCTTAACCGAACAGTAAATTTTATCGAAATTTTTTATTTATTTATTTAGACATTGGTTAAATAACTTCATCTGTTTCTAGTTTATCATGATATTATCTATTCATTTTGGATGAAATATTCCTATATTTGTAAATTTAATTAGACTTTCAAATCTAATAAGTAAATATAAATTCATGAAACATATCTTTCATCATAATCATTTCATATAGTCTAATTATATTAAATACACTGAACGATAAATTTTATTTGAAGTTGATATTATTCTGTATGCTACTGATGTTGACAGATATAAGTAGTATGTATCACCAATCGAAATTAGAATGCATGATGTTAGGTGGTTGAGAGAAATCGAAGAGAAGAGAACGAGAACAGAGAATGATTGGTATGAAAATGAAGGAACAATAAAGTCTAAAACAATTGTTGTATATTTTGAAGATGATGTATTTATTGTATGATTCTAAGATTTTACCAAGATTTCTGTAATGTATTAAAATACGTTTTGGTAGTCCCAACTTGTGTCCTTGTTCACCACAATACTACTACAACTACAGTCACTACTATAATTACTACTGTAACTAATAATGATGAATATATATATTATCCTTAACAAATAACACTTAAAGCAATTTCATTCCTTTGCTACATTCAAACCGAATATTGATCGCAAACAAATACTTTTACCACTTTTATATCTATCTACCTACTTATTTTTTTTAACCGTCCCCACACATTCTCTCGCTATATGTATATTTATATATATGGATCGTAAATTTTGCCTTGAAGGTTTGTTGAAATATTTTTGCGATCTTACCTCATACCCCTTTTGTTAAATAACATGTATGGGTAAATATATGTGAATCTGTTTATGTTTATAGATATATTGATGTATATATATATATATATATAGTAGCTAATTTTGAAATAGTACAATTTATAATGTATCCACAGTAGTATTGTGCGTTTGCTTTCATGATTGCTTGCCTACTTGTTAGCTAGATCATGGGTGCTACGATTATCATTGTTTCTATGCATATGTATATTCTTTAGTTATTCAGTAGACAGATGGACAGAATTATGTCAAAACACATATCTAATGATTTAAATATCTACCATAGTTACCATCATTGATTTTTCTTGAACAGGTTAACCTCTTAACAAATGACAAATGTTAGTACTAGTAAGATTGTTGTTCATTAATATATAATATATAGCACAGATATATATATATATATATATGGACATAGGATAGATTTATATAATCTTATGTGAATTGGGATTTTTTTTTCTAATATAAACACATGCATTCGTTTTTTAATCGTTTAGATAATCATTCTACTTCAGCTGTACACCTAGCTATATCCATACAAACATATATATATAGAACAATTTGCTTATATAATTGAAATATTCCATTGCATATTTCTCTGTATATATATATATATATTACCATTTATCCTAATGATACTAAGAGGAGCGAAAGAAAAAGGTGGTTTTCTTTTAAAGGTTAATGTGTTTTCACATATATATATATATATTAGGTTATAGTTTTATTTAATTCCATTATTGAAACAAGAAAAAAAAAGAAGAGTATCTACACACAAAACATTAAATGCTTACATATGAATGAATGAATGAATGAATGTACAGTAAATTCACTTAGAAACTTTCATTATTCCATAGATCTTATACATATTAACATTTTAAGTAGTATATATGAAGACTAAGTTATTAGCCTATGTAAATATTAAATAATATAGGATATTTTTGAATCATTCAATGTCTTGATGTCATTTATTATTATTATCACTATTATTACTATTATTACTACTATTATTATTACTATTAGTATTACTATTATTATTACTATTATTATTATCACCATTATTACTATCATTATTACTACTACTATTATCGCTATTATTTTTATTGCTATTATTATTACTATTGGTATTATTATCATCACTATTATTACTATTATTACTACTATTATTATTACTATTAGTATTATTATCACTATTAATACTGTTATTAATACTATTGTCATCACTATTATTATTAATACCATTATTATTACTATTATTATTATCACCATCATTATTATTACTTTTATTATTATTATTGAAACTATTCTATGCTAGCGAAATATTTTTTTGAAAAAAAATTTATGAAATAAATAAATAAACTAATTTGAATTGGATACAATGAACCACTTACTGTTTTTTTTTGACTAGAAATTTATAGAAAATGTCATTTGTTTTATTATTTAAATATTAATGGCGCCAATCTTCAATAAGAAAAAATAAATTCATATTATTAACCAGTCAAGTTTGTTTTTTTAAAATTATAGATTAATGTTTATATTTGAAGGAATTATACTTGATTTTATAGAAATAAGCATGTTTCTAGATTCATATTCTATTCTACTATTCTTTTGTTTGTGTGACTTCTTTTGATAAATAATTGGTTGAATATTATATAAGAACTCTCATCTACATTAAAGCGAATAATTTCACAGTATTTGATAATTTTAATGTTTGATTATATTTCGTTGAAAAAAAAAAGCTTAGATTAGATTACCAAGCGAAACGTTGGATTTACGTCAAATTCATTCGCTGAGATTTTACAAATACATATTATTCTTATTTAATGGTTGAATGATAATTCAGCGCAATTTGTTAGCTTATTTTTAAGAGTACAAGTTTATAGAGATAGTTTATTAAAACACTTATTAATAAGATATATTCCGATTTCAATTAGTCAATAACTAATAATTTTATATGTAATGAATGATATAAGATTAGTAGTGTAAAGTAGGCTGTACATTTCACTCACTTTCAGAATTAAGACTATTTAGGAGTACTCATCATCGATTTCATTAGAGATTAAATCCAGTACAATTAGACATCGGAATGAACATCTAACACTTAGATAACTAAGTTGGCATCCAGTAGTTTATACTCATAATTTCAGTTACCTCACGATATCACACGACCTTTATCCATTGTCGTTGGTGATATTCGTCCCATTCACATGATCTAACTCTATTGTTCATGGTTTTTAACTGGAACTAGGCATCTGGTCATGTTATGTGTTGGGCGTCACTATTAAAATTTTTACATTTGGGGAAAAATTCCCTCTATAGTTTTAATCTTTTTATATTTATAGTTCAGTGAATTTATATCTTTTGCATTTAGTTGGTGAATAACATGTAAATTGTAGCTGTTCATTATATGTAAAATGATATTTTGTATTAGTGTGTAATATTCACACGATTGTTACTCGGTTAAATTTGGATCGATATTACAATGGACGAAAAAAACATTAACAGTAACATAAACTTGAACATTTGAAATTGTGAACGAAATGTGAACTGGTTCAAGCAACAAATCAAGTACAAAACGCAATGTAATTAGATATATAGATTCAACTTTTGACCATATAATCATCTAAAGTTATTATTTTCCTTCATTTTCCGGTTATCGATATTTCATCATTTTCAGTGCCATCCATTGGTTGTTTTAACACATTTCTAAAGACTGTAAATGATCTTTTAGTATTATCTTTAGCGGTTACTGAAACATTCTTGAACTATTAGTCAGTATTAAATATTGAATTATTTTGGTTGTTTCTTATTTCCTAACTTTGACATTAGTTGCTTGCTATGCATCTTAAACCATCCAGTCTTGTGATACAACTAAATAGTTAGTTACTCTAACCATTTACTGCCTTGATTATTATTTTGTTCCCTAATCGATATTTGACAGATTAGTAGAAACGAAGGACAGTTTCCTGAAATATTTTTCTCACAAGTCTATGTTTAACAAAAATATTTAAAATATGAGGTATGTTTTAGAAAGAAAAAAACTTAAGCTTCCAGTCTGTTTAGCCATATTTTTGATGATAGCATATGAACACATCTTCCTTAGAATTCCATAAACACAGTCTCGTATATTCGATTATTGTCATGCAGCAAGTCACCAATTAAGCTATCTAAATATGTGATTCAACAATAAAATAACCATTCACATTGATTTCATCTTAGATTCAGTATTTGGAAGAAAGCACTTCTATGAAATAAAAATACTAACATAATTAATGTCAATATCCGATGTGAACAAAAACAACTGTATTTTAGGCATTCTACATAAAACTCAAATTGTAATTGTCGCCTTAGCTACATTGTAAAGTGAAAGACATTTCATAATTTAGTAGCTTTGTTTGATCATTAAGATAAAATGCCTTTTACAAAATGCAAAGAATTAAAATCATTTTATTCATATCCGCAATTGATTTCTTTCAAACTCTGTTCATTAATAATTCAATCTCCTTTTTTAATTATGACATATCTTGTCCCCTGTATTGTGTTAATTAACTTTAAGTAACTAAACGAAACATTGTTACTAAGGTTAATAAAAACTTTTAAACTTAATGTCATAGCAAATACTAGTGGATTATACGTTTTGCGGGTATAAAAATTATGCTTTTATGAATACTTTAACACGTTTCCTCCTACGATTGTCAGTAATCCTGACATAGTATATCTCTCTAAATTGATATAAACACACTACCGAACTTTTCTAGACAATTGTTTGTTCGTAAAATTCTAACTGTTCAATAAATATATATGTTCAATCTCTTTTAAATGCAATTTCCAAAGTATTTAGTTTTTATTATGATTTTCATTGTTTCATATTTAGGTATTAAATCGTCAACGTACTTTATTTGAAAAAACTAGAAAATTTCTTAAAGATAAATGGAAAGCAGATGTAAAACGTATGTTAGATGCTGAAAATAGTTTGTTTAAAACAAAAACAACATATTATCAACGTTGTCAAGCTGGTGTGAAATTACGTGAAGAATTAGCTACAGCACAAAATCTTTTAAATGAATTAACTGCTTCTCTTATGCAATCATCGTCAGTTTCATTTAGTAGTGCATTATCATCATCTACATCAACAGGAACAACAACACCATCATCATCATTTTCATCGGTTACAATAATGCCACCTACACAAACAAATGTATCAGGTGAATTGTCTAGTTATGATAAATAATTATTAAAAAAAATCTTTTTTTTAGGTCTACCTGTTTATTCTACTGGGACTTCATACTCATCGAATCTAATAAGCTCAACTGTTGGAAGTAATGCAAATTTAACACAAGATTTAATGAATGATTCAAATATTGGTGAATCAAATCCATCAAATACAACTTCATCATTATCAACTTCTACATCAAATCAAGTGGCTAAACAAAGAGTAAAAGTTGAACGATTGGAAAAACAATTAGGTGATAATGATAAAAAGGTAAACAATGACAATAATATTAAGTACTAATAATTTTCCCCATCTTACTGGAAGCGATGTCTAATCACATAAACCAGTACTCGAAAGGTTACTTGAAAGACAGAATTTGATCAGCACAGAAAAGAATTTGACAGACATAATTTTGGTCATTATTCAGTGACTAATTATTCAATGTATTAATCATATATCAAGCCAATCACGGTACGATAGCTCAGTAATAATATTTAAGATAGGGAATTTGATTGTCAAGGGATTCAATACTTCAGATAGTAAATTCCCTTGGTATCATAGGTCGAAAATTCTGACAAACATAAAATAACAAGAAACTTAGACCGCTCATAGTGCATTATGTATTGAATTATCCACAATTACTGATCCATTATGAATCGATGGTTAATTGTTAACTAGTATGATTCTCAATGTGTTCATGTTTTTATTGTGCCCTTATTATCTACTTTTTTTTCCTTTAAAAACTGAGGAAAAAGGACAATTCTTGTTTGTGATGTATTTTACAATTTTGTTTTCTTCTAACAGGAAATTGAACTGATGTATGCCTATCGGGAAGCAGTAGATATTGCAAACCATCGTTTATGTGAACTGGAAAAAAGCAAGGTAGATTATAAGTGTATAATTTTTTAAAGAAGAAAAAAGATCTTTCTATTTAAATTAAGCACATACTAATAATGTCTCAACATTTTCTACAGTGAAAAGGGATTCTGACCTTGAGTTGAGACTAACTGCATTTTCGGATGTGGAGAAACATGTCTAGACTGACACACAAATGAGAAATGATTTGATCAACTGAATATTTCAACTAATACTTTGATCAGTGGTTAGTTGAACTTATTATTCAGCCAAGGTCATTAGGACTAAAGCTATGAAATTTAAGAGCGTGAGAATTACGAGCATCTTCGCGTCTTTTTCTGTTATTTTTATCGATTTTACACGAGTATCTGGTTAAAAGTATATACAGACGACTGACCACATTTTATAAGTAAGAGAGCATACATATGTAATAAAGTAACACCGGAAACCTATAAATCTTAGGAATGAGTTGCAAAATAGTGATAAATGTTCATCCACGTCGATCGCTGGACACACAATCAGAAAACGTCATATCTTTGATCAAAACTCAGATTTCACGGAGTAGTATAAAATTGTTATAAAATGAAATTTTAACTGTATGACAATCCTGGCTACCCCTCCTCTAGTGTGATTGAAACAGTTTTTGCTTATACTGAACTTACCTATGGCAATATTCATTCTAATTTAGTGATGATATGTTATTAACAGTTTGAGTGAGAAAACGTTTTTTGTAGTTATTTCCTCATTATGGCTGTTTATTTATGTGTACGTTTTAAAATTGAGTATAAAATGAATAGCGTTCCGAGTACTAATCAGATAAACTGAATATCTAAAACAAACTATTTATATCGTCTTATAGATTGATATCATATTTTTTATTTTCTTACACGGATCATCAGTTCTCTCGAGATCGCAGTTACACATTTTTGACGAGTGTCAACTAACATAAAGCCAAAGTGCTGTGTTTTTCACCAAATAATAAAATCGGTGACCAAAGTCTTGCACGAAACGGCTACTTATAAGTGAAAACAATAAACTGATTAGCTATCAGTATTTATGATTTAAATTATTTTGATGCTATTATAGTCTACCATACATCTATTTTGCTACATATATTTAATAATGAAATATTAAAAATGTTTTGGTTAGTACGAATGAATTAGATATCTCAGACATCTTATTTATTGGTTGAGATTAAGAATCGATGAATGTTAGACCACCATTGAAAACTTAGAAGCACTGGACGGTCTTTTCATTCTAGTATAGGACTCTTCAGCAGTATGCATCCCAAACGCGTGATTCGAAGCCAGGATCCAATATGTGTCAAGTAGAGACAAGTATCTACTTCAGAAAATGAAAGATGATCGCACGATTTCGTGGATTGGTTGAAGTTAAATCTTAAATTAAAATCTTGGGATACCAGTTCAGTGATTTAGACGTTAAGCCTTCACGCGGGACACCGTAGGTTCTATGTTTGAATCCCGCATGTAGGATTGTGGATGCGTACTGATGAGGAGTCTTATACTAGGACTAAAAGGCCATCCAGTGCTTCCAGGTTTTAATATCATGGTCTAACACTTATCGATCCATGATTTTAATCAACAACCTAACAATCCCCACAACTCCATACTGGTCTTACTCATTGTCAGTAATGAATCAGTTAAGTGTACTTAATCGAAACATATATATTATCACAAATCATCCTAAATAGTTTACTTCTAAACTGAATTGCTAAGAAACATAGATCTCCTTAATGTAACCAATATATTTCATTAGTCATTTTAACATTGTCCTTAACTCTTTCCCCAATATGATCACCATTAGTTCATTTTTTCCAATAACATCTTACAGTTCAATATGAAAAGCTGAACAAAAGAAACATTCTCAATCATTCGTCAGAGAACAATTAGTGTATTTTGCTTTAGTAACTATATTATGATAATTTTATGAACCACAAATAACATGTAATTATTTCAATCTCTTGAAAACAACAAAAAACAAAATCGATATGGTAATTAGTCAAAGCTAAAAATAACATTTAGACAGCCTTGATAAATTAATGTGAAATATTAGATGGAAATATGTTACAACCTGTTGATTATATAACATCTGTAACTATTTACAAAGTTTAAAAACTACACAGATCTATTTTCTCTTGGTTTAAATATATAACTAAATTTAGAAAAGGTTCTTTAATCGATCGAATCAATGTTTGCCAGGTTTTTCTTTTTCATTGTAATACACGACATGTTATGTAATAAAAAAAATTCTTTGTTCATAGAATTTAATTTTGTAGACTACTGTAAACACTAGTTAGTTTATAAGTAAAAATGGATAGTGGCTAGCAGTTTGAATCGCGTTTCGTCCTATTTGAGACTCGTTAGCTGAATGTATCTGCATCTCAAAGTTGATGTTCACACTGAGACTCAAGCCCAATACCTTTCGCTTCAAACGCTCAGCTACTGAGTCCTGATAGCCACTTGCTTGTGCAATGGGGTGAGGTTTTTAAATTCACTTAGTATTGTTTGTTTGACTCTTTCCTCTGAGATGCAGATACATCCAGATGACGAGTTCCATATGAGACGAAACGCGCGTCAAACTGGATTCCACTGCTAACCATTATCCATCTTTGCTCTTAATGCTTGTGAATTGAGGCTATATCGAGGCAATACGCACAGTATGCACATATGGCCAATAAAAGACTGACTAGTTACAATCCTAAACATGACCGGAAGCTTCAAACAAACAATCCTAGTTAGTTTAGTGGGAGTATATTGTGTATCAATAGACCAGTGTGTATGTCACATGTTTTCATTTGACAGATAAAAAACCACAGTTTAACATTCAAGTTACACATCAGTTATTGAAAGTTACAAATCATATGAACGATTTATTTGAATTGCAAATACATAATTTTGTTCGTCTTAATAATTATTGATACAAAATATAACCAATAATATCAAAACATAGACGACTAGAAAATTCGTTCGTTTTCGTTGGAATATTTTTGTTCATTATATCAAAAATAAATTGATTTAGCTCATAATTAGCTGACAAATATGCTTACTCTTGTGTTCTTTGAAGTTGATCGATCTATTATGTAGCTTATAGTCCAATTTATAATCCATAGAATAAAACTTGAAACAGAAGATTTTCTTCTAAATTGCATAGCCTTTAGCGTCGGTTTTAATCAGAAAAACTACAAAACATTGACTATAAACCTAAAGATACGGCCAATACAAAAAGCATACGGTTCTGAAATTTTACGAAAACTTACCTACTGTAACAGTAGGAAGTTAAAAAAGATAATAATTCATCAATTAATCAATGTTAGACCACCACTGAAAATCTGGAAGCACTGGATGGCCGTTCCGTTCTGGTATGCCAATCTTCAAGAGTGCGCATCTACGAAACCGCACACAACATTTAAAACCAGAATCTTTGATTTCACGCACGCACGCTCAACCTCCAGATCACTTAACCGACATCCAACGGTGTTAATGTCTAACTTCAACCAATCCACGATATTGCGTGACCGTCCTCCATTGTCTTCAGTTTGTAACTGCCTCACAAAAAACACAGTTGAACTCCACTGGTCACGGTTTCTCATTAGAACTCCAGGAAATCCATCTTGAAGCATTGATCCATTCATGATGTCAATCTAAATTCAACAATCTCCACAACCTTCTATTGATAATAATTCATCAGTTTAACTCATGACAACCATTTTATTCTACACAAGTTGAAGAAACTAAAATCTTGATATGGAATAATCAGCTTCATCTGCACAATCAATAACCTATAGTGACATTTCAAATCTACTTACGTATCTCTCAATGCAGTTAAATATATATATATATATATAATATGTATTAAAATAATTATTTATTTCTCTGTATACAAATATTTGAGGAGAAAGAAGAAATTGAAATCACAAGTAAGAACAGGAAACAAAAAGAATACGAGTATCTATTTAGTTATATTTACTAGTCATTGAGTAAAGATCAACTAATGTAAATATCTCAATCTTATAAGTAATCATTAATAACGTAATAAATTATGATGGTAGGTAATTCTGTTTCATTTCTCACAGAGAGAATTAACTTTTTCATAATTGCAAATACATTTTGTTGACGAATACCTAGATATGGTGTTTCTTAATCATTGTTTCCAACTTTTTAACATCGTTGATAATTAGCAGAGATGGATAGTGGCTAGTAGTGGAATCCAGTTTAACGCGCGTTTCGTCCTATTTGGGACTCGTCAGCTGGATGTACCTGCATCTGAGTTCATGTTCACTCTGGAACTCGAACCCAGTACCCTCGCTTCAAACGCCATTGGGTTATCCACTCGGCCACTGAGTCCTGATAGCCACTTGCTTGTGCGATGGGGTGAAGTTTTAAATTCACTTGGTATTGTTTGTTTGAATCTTCCCATCGATTTGTTAGGACTGCAACTGGTCAGTCTCTAATTGGCATATGTGCATACTGTGCGTATTGCCTCGATATACCTTAATTCACTTAACAATAGAAATACTTTATATTAATTTCACATCTAAATTATCATTAATTAGAGATTTTCTCATTGGATCATATTTCATTTTTTTAAATTCTTTCTCATCTTATTCTACTTCTAATCAATTCATTCTCAACAATTTCACTTGAACTATGGAAAATATTGAAATCTCCACAAAACTCTTTCTGATTATAATCATATGCTCACTAGTTGACTGAATTCAAGATACATGTCCTGGAGTTCTAGTGGGAAGCAGTGATCAGTGGAGTTTAACGACGTCTGTTGTGAGATAACAACTCACTGAAGACAATTGGTGAACGGTTTCTCAAACTTCGTTTATTCTCAATAGTGTCATTTACAAAATATGTATTAAATTTTATCTATTCTTCAATCTTTTATATGGTAGTTACTGATTTCCAGATGACTGTAGAACTATTACTAATGTTATCAAGGTCATTGAATTGTTCATCGTACTGTCGCAAGTATGTACTCTTAAAAAAGAGAAAAATTATTCAATTGATTACTTATTCCGACTGATCATTTATTTTAATCGTTGAGTTCATGAATCGATCTAAGTTAGATCACTAGTGAAAATTTAAAAGCACTGGTTGCCCGTCTCATCTTAGTATGGGACTCAGCAATGCGCATCCACGATCCCACATGTGTGACTCAAACACAGGACCTTCATTATCGTGCGTGAACGCTTGACCTCTAGATTATTTATTATCATAAAATGCTGTTTTAATTTATTACTACGCAACCGCTGAAGAATAATTTCCATTATAATTTGTATTAAAACAATAATATGTATCTTTATTTTCTATTTTTCTTTACTTTTTAAAAAATATAGATTGAAATTTTATGTGATACACGTTTGACCATAACAAAAAGTGATGAAGTTGTTAAAGATTCATTAGCAGAATTATTAAATCATTTATATACAACTCGTTCATTAATGATAAAACAGGTAAATAATGAAAATTGTACAATGATTGACTCTATCAATCATCATTCGTATCATTTATTTACTTCCTTACGCCTATTACTCCCAATGGAGCATAGGCCGCCGACCACCATTCTCCAACCCATTGTGTCCTGGGCCTTCTTTTCTAGTTCTATCGAATTCTTGTTCATTATTCCCATATTTGTCTCAATTTCTCGGCATAATGTGTTCTTTGATCTTCCTCCTCTCTTTTAGCCTTCAGGATTCCATGTGAGGGCTTTCCTTGTAACGCAGTTTGGTTATTTTCTCAATGTGTGTCCTATCCACTTCCAGCGCTTCCTCCTGATTTCTTCCTCCGCTGAAATCTGGTTTGTTGTCTCCCACAGTAGCTAGTTGTTGTATCATTTGTATTGAACACTCAGTTTATATGTAAATGGATTTGTAAACTTATTTTAAGTAATTGAATTACAAAGATTACAATATCTAGTTTAAACATGTGAAGTAAGAATAATAATAAATCCGCTTAGTATTGTTTGTTTGAATTTTCCAATTGATGTTTAGGACTGTAACTGGTCAGTCTCTAGTTGGCATATGTGCATACTATGCGGATTGCCTCGATATATCCATCTTTGCTTACAATAATAATAATATTTAAGAGGAATATAATGAATTCATTGTTATTTTGTCTTCAACTATGATTATTAAATTAATTTGAAACGTTTTTAAAATGAATCGGTAACTAATAATTGATAATTATTACTATGCAGGGTTTATTGGGATTGTTGAATGCTACTGAGATCACGAAACGGACAAGTACTTACCTGAAATCTAGTAAGAAGTCGTGGTCAGTAGAATTCAACTCTTCCTTAATTGTTATCCGGTTGCTTATTCAAAGACGACTAAAGATGATTGAAATATATGACTGGTTAGTTCAGGTAAGATATCAAAATCTCTGGATGCCAGTTCAACAGTCTAATGGTTAGGTTTTCCCTGTGAGAACTGTGGATTCTGTGTTTAATCTCTAGTGAAGTCATGTGTATTCAAAGCTGAGAAGCCTATTGCTAAAACGAAATAACTTTCTAGTTTTTTTTAGTTTTAACTGGTTGTCTAACTCAGTTCGATTTGCAATTTCAATGAAGAATAAGTTAACTGCAATGTAAAGAAGTTAAGAGTTAATTTTTTTTACAGAGATCCTCAATTATTTAGGATGATAATTTTAGAACAAGCATTTTAAACAAAGATAGATGTTGTACACCAGTAGAATTCAGGGCGTGCGTTTTCTCCCATTTGGGACTAGTCAGCTGGATGTACCTGCATCCCAGAGTTGATGTTCACTCCGGGCCTCGAACCCAGTACCGTTCGCTTCAAATGTCATCGAATTAACTACTGAGTTCAGTTAGCCACCAGTTTGTGCCTGTGTTGTTATCTACAAAATATACTGAATTTTTACGTATTTAAATCAAATCAAAATAATAAACATACTATTGAACACCTTCAATTAATTGACAAATGTTTTACACCATTTAAAAAGTGTATAAGCAATGTGATTGTTTTATCTGTAACTAGTTTCAGTGTATATCAATTCTTAGTTGTTGTTCTTTTTAGTTAACCGTTCTATAATCAATATGACAATATACAGTAACAATTCCTTTCAACATTCATAATAGTGAATTTCATCAATTTGTGGAATTGTCAAATCATAAGGGATTTTTTCAATTTTTTTTTCGGAAATCATGTATTCTACTAAATTACATTATAAAAATAACTTCATATCTGACACTGAAAATATATTCAATGAACAGTTTGAATTAATTAAACATTAGAATGTTTTAATCAGTCATTAATTTACTGTGGCTTGCTTGTTTACGCTCCCATCACTCGAAAGTGATCTATATTGTACGAATATTCGTCAGTATTAGAACGAATATTTTCGCAGGAATTGGGTGCCGAGTATAGAGAAGAAATTATTTGTGATAATTATATTACACGTGTATATTATATATGTAATGAATGGGAAGACAAGTAGGGATAACCAATCGTATTGAAATACAAAATTACAGAATATATTGGTAAAATCTGAGAACCATACACTGAATAATTCATCTGAAAATTTCTGTCATTTGTTCTTCATACTCTGTATGGTTCTTTCAGTTCAAAATTCCTTTCTACCCCTCCTTCTATTCTTTTCAACTCGATCTTTCTAGCCTTCTGATGCCAGCTATTCAACTTTTGATTTGTGTTACATATTACTTATTTTTATCAACATCATTAGCATAAATCACGTATATTATTATTAATAAGTCAAACATACACACAAACGCACAATCATTTATACATTCATCTTCACATTGTGAAAATTCTATATGATTCGCATACACGGGACTCATATTATTCTACTTACTAAAGTCAATATTTAAGTATGTTCGGATAAGCACTTAGGATAGATTTGATTGTTAAATATGATATATCTCTTTGATAATTTTGATTACGATTATTTACCTGAAGCAGTTCGGACAAGTTTCATGAACGAACCGTTGGAATGATTTACATTTCAATTACTAAGATTACTTCAAACAGAATCATCAAAAATAATGTCTGATCTATTGTAAATAATGAACTATTGCACTCAATTTTCTCTTTCCATTCAGAAAATGACTCTGATATAATCAATTTCTATTTAATTTAGTTAAAAAAAGAAGTTAGAAATTAACACCGTCGGATGCTGGTTCAGTGGTCTAGTGTTTAAGCGCTGACGGGCGAAACTAATAGGTCCTGGGTTCCAATCTCGCGAGGCGGGATCGTGGATGCGCACTGTTGAGGAGTCCCATAATAGGACGAGATGACCGTCTAGTGCTTTCAGGTTTTCCATTATGGTCTAGCTTCAATTGTAGCATGATCTCAACTATCAAATAAAAAAAAGAATTATTAAATTACATTTCTGATTGATTGAAAAGTTATTTGAAAATGCATTAAGAATACTTTTATAAGTAGTGATTACAATTACAATATTGCATACATATGAAATACAGAGAAGAATTCTTTAAGCGACTTGTTTAATGCAAAACTATTACTTGTCTGAAGCTTTTATAAAACAGAATGAAACCACTACAAATTAGGTAATGAACATTTTATTCATTTCTTGTTTGTGACAGTTATGACTTCGTGGACTTTTAAATTCAGAAATGTTAATTAACGATACCATTACTCTATTAGTAAGCTAGTAAACTGTAAACAAAATTTCTGATATTTCAAAACTAGATAAAACCTGACTTTTATATATTTAAACGTATAATCTCTAATTAATATTAAATGGTTGAAAGTAGACGTCAGAAATCTCATTAAATTGATTTCATTTAACAGCAAGAGATATCTATAATAATTTATCAAACTGAATTGTTATATGGGATTTGAACTCATGTCACTCAGCTTTACAGTACATAATCCTCCAAATGAACTGTTCGGTCAGACAATAAACATTTACTAATGAAATTTATCTAAATAAAATATTTCCGCTTCAATTATTATCAAAAAAAAGATACATTCCTTGTATAGTCAATGTGTTTGCCTATTCCATTTGAATAGAAACATACAAAAAAAAATTTTTTTCATTTTTTCTTTATACAAATAATTGATTTAGAATTTTGATTGTTTTCTTCTTTTTTTTTTCTTTCTTTTCTTTATTTGTTTGGCATATATTTTTCATATTATCAGTATGAAATCATTGCAAATGCTTATCAAGATTATGTACCATGTAGTGATTATCGTGTATTAGTTGAATTGCATATTCAAAAAGGTATTGAATTTATTCCAGAAAAATATCATTTTGATGGATTTCATGAATCAAAGTATGTTAATTTTAATGATTATACATAAGTATCATTTTCTCAAATGATTTTCATATTTAAACAATTCAATTGTATATTAATATAATTTGAAAAATAGTAGCAGTCCAAATAATGATATAATTTCTTTTGAAACAGTGATTAGAAAACGAAGAAGTTCTAGCTATCTGCTTTGATCTTATATGAGATTATTTCTAGTTAGCGCTTAAACAATCTCTAGATATCAAACGTATTAACTTCAGCATTCTAATTTTGAAATTCAATCTATCAACTATAGTATTTAACCTCGACTCACTGTTAATAAATTCTACATTAATGCATACGTCAAAATATCTAATGATTATGCAATTTAATAGTTACTCAATAGTGAAGAGAATTTATTGATAGTTTCGAATAATTTGTAAAATCAGCCAAAAACTCTGCAGGAGTAGGCTTTAACATACACAAGGGAAGAAACAAGAACCCCAAATACAAAATTAGGGACACCAACACAATTTCACATGATGGAGAAGTTCATGTGCCAAGTCAGTATCATAGATGAACGAGGAGGATCTGATATAGACGTAAACGTGAGGATCGCCAAAGCAAGGTATGCATTCTTAAAATTGAAGAACACATAGAACTCAATAAAACTGAAAACCAAAATCGAAGTGAAGGCTTTCAATACGAACGTCAACACACTTCTACTGAACAGAGCTTAAAATTCGAGAACTTCTTCAACCGTCGTCAAAGAAGTACAATCATTCATAAAAAAATTGCATACACAAGATAATCAGTGTCAGTTGACCGGACATCATCAGCAACAACATACTGTGGAAGAGAACAAACCAAATTCCAGTTAAAGAGGAAATCAGAAAAAGCTGTTAGAAGTGGATAGGACACACATTAAGGAAATCATCAAACTGCATCACGAGACAAGTTATGACTTGGAATCCTGACGGTAAATGGAGAAGTGTAATGTGATTGAACACACTGATTGGGGAATGGGAAGCAGATGTGAGAAGGATGAATAGAAACTGGAAACGACTGGAAGAGATTGTTGAGGATAGTATTTGATGGAGAATGTTTGTGGTCGGCTTATGCTTCCTCCATAAGGATTAACTGGCTTAAGTTTGTCGAAAAATAATCCCCATTTTTAGAGTATTTTCTGAACTACATTAAAAGCCTGAAATAATCGGTATCAAACAAACAGGTAATCGAAAAAGAAATATTTTCTAATGCCTATCAATCAATCAGTTACAAAGTTTAAATTTAACACATTTTATGTCTCTTTTTACCATTGTGGTATGTGCTATTGATGCCTACAGAAATAAGTAGTACATATCACCAATCAAAATTGGAATGCCTGATTTCAGAAGGTTGAGAGAAATCGAGGAGAAGAGAACAAGAACAGAGAGTGATTGGTATTGAAAACGAAGGAACAATAAAGTCTGAAACAATTGATGAATATTTTTCAGATAATGTATTTATTATATGATTGTTAGATTTTACGAAGATATTCTGTAATTTTGTATTAAAATACATTTGGTTGTCTTTACTTGTGTTCTTGTTTACTACACCGTAATTGAAAAGTCTTACAATAAATGACTTAGATGAACTATAGATACATCATCTGTTTAACATTGAAATATATGAAAATTTGAAAAATGTTTTCATAAGAAAGGCCTATAAATTAATATATAATCTACTGGTCAGCAAAATTTGCATAAATCAGATAAGGTCTATCTACAAATAACTTTGATATGACAAAAAGAAAAGAAAAGATAAAATTAGAAAGAAAAAAAAAACTCGATACTGCATAACAACTACTCGATAATTCGTTCATAATAATTACTTATTCAATACATCTCATGTATGAAGTATAAATTTACGTGATCAGTTTCTATTTGTACTTAGAATATGAGTGTTAAGTATTGTCCACTTTAAAGTAGATAGAAAGGAAATTATAATTGATACATAAAAAGTCAAAATTATGACTTTTAACAACAAAATCAACTCTTCACTATTATTACAATCATAATTATAGTGATACATAATCTTCATTAATTTATCTTTATCGTTTAGAAATGATAAATTAAATTTATTTATATCTAATTATATTCATCTATAAATAATATCACGATATGAGCAAAAATGGTTAGCTACTTACTTGTGCAATGGGGTGAAGTTTAAATTGACTTAGTATTGTATACTTGTATCTTTCCATTGTTATTTAGAACTATAATTAATTAATCTCTTGTTGGTATATGTGCATCCTTTGCTGACTGTCTCGATATTATCTGAAGTCACAAGATGCACATAATATACATATGCCAACAAGAGACTGATCAATTGCCGTCTTAAACATCAATAGGCAGACTCGAACCCAGTACCGTTCGCTTCAAACGCCATCGCGTTATTCACTCACCTACTGAATCCTGATAACCACTTGCTTGTACAATGGGGTGAAGTTTAAATTTACTTGATGTTATTTACTTGTATCCACCCATTGTTATTGAGAATTATTCTCTTGTTGGCAAATGTACATCCTGTGCGAACTGCTTCGATATTACATGAATTCACAAGCTTCATAAGCAAAGATGGATAGTCATTAGCAGAGAATGCTCATATTCCAACAAGAGACTGATCAATTACAGTTGTAAATAACAAATGGGAGGTACAAATAAACAATACCAAGTGAATGGTATTATTTTATAATTTTCATATGATTTCATCAACATTTCATTTGTTTAACAAAGATAATATGTCTATTTATCATTGGTCATACATGAATACATAGATATCAGATACTGTTAAACAGAATTATATTCATAATTACCTTTTTTTTCTTTATACAATAAATACAGAATAAGAATTTATTTAGTTGTATACAGTTCATCTTAAAAGAGAGCACATATGTTACTGTGATTATATTTTTTGTTCCTAACCATGATTTATTTATGTTCATGTTCTTTTCTTTGTTGATAAGGTTCTATATGTATTTGGTTATTTTTAGAAACAATAAGACTGACATAAGTAAAATAATTTAAATGTTAAATAGATAGACAGATGTTCTCATGTCTCATTATCACTATGCATTATTATATAAAACTAACTATTATAGAGCTTATATATAATTAATATTATATAATGAATACAAAATGAAAGAAAATTTAAGCTAAGAGTTTTTTCGTACCGTTGTTGTTTTAGTGTTTAAAAGATGTAACTAATAGTCAAACCCTAGGTTAATAACAATTTATTCGTTCTTCTAATTATGATATATTATACTTGGATTGTATATTATCGTTGTACTTTTGATCTCATATGATGGATGTAAAATTGTATTATATTTTAGTATTTTGAGTTCAGTACAGACTTACAATACTAACGGAATTAGAAACGATTAATCTATTCAAATTACAACGATTCTATTGAGTAATTCGGTAATGTAAGACAGCTTACAACATTTCAACACTCAGCTGCTAACATAAGAAATGGAGGAATTGCAAGAAATCTTGATATTTGAAGTAGAACAAACAGAAGAAAAAGAAAAAGTAAAATTATGAATATTTAGCAGAGATGGATAGTGGCTAGCAGTGGAATCCACGACGCGCGTTTCGTTCTATTTGAATATTTAGTTTCGGAAAAATGATGTCGATACATACCAAAATTTAACAACCTAACAGCGATTACTATCAATCACAAAGTGACAACGGTCGTATTGAGAACTGGATTAGGAAAATATATATCTGTAGTTATGGTTTCCAGTAAAATTTTAGAATTCCTTAAAAAATTTAAGAAATTTCGTGATCATTTTAACAACTTGACATCTGTCGTTTTATTATTTTTTAAATTACTTTAACCATAAAAAAATAATTGATTGTTTATCAATACTATATAATAATTTAGCTTAGTTGCTTACACCAGTTAATCCTTATGGAGGAAGCATAAGCCGACCACAAACATTCTCCATCAAATACTATCCTCAACAATCTCTTCCAGTCGTTTCCAGTTTCTATTCATCCTTCTCACATCTGCTTCCCATTCCCCAATCAGTGTGTTCAATCACATTACACTTCTCCATTTCCCGTCAGGATTCCAAGTCATAACTTGTCTCGTGATGCAGTTTGATGATTTCCTTAATGTGTGTCCTATCCACTTCTAACAGCTTTTTCTGATTTCCTCTTTAACTGGAATTTGGTTTGTTCTCTTCCACAGTATGTTGTTGCTGATGTTGTTCGGTCAAGTGACACTGATAATCTTGTGTAGACAATTGTTTATAAATGATTGTACTTCTTTGACGGCGGTTGTAGTAGTTCTGGAATTTTGATTTCCGCGTCTTAGAAAAGTGTTGATGTTCGTAATGAAAATCCCTACTTTGATATTGGTTAACTTAATCCATACAACTTTACATAAACAATCGTGAATGGAAGTTTGAAACTTGAAATACCAACCAGATTTTTATTTCAGATCTTTTCTAAACAAAAGCTTTCCATATTCTTTCATAAAAAAATGTTTAACTATTATGACAGCAAGAAATGTTCTAACCTCAAAAATACATATTACACTTTAATGACTCATTGTTGTATCATCATCATTTCGGACAGGCAATAGGCACATAGGGGGTCATTTTTATTCATCCAATAGGGAAGCTACAAGTCCACATTCTAGAATATTCCCCTAGTGGTGATTGGATAGAATGTATTCGGTTCTTTCAAGGCTTCTTAACGCTTCCTTGAGTTTGCCGACGAGCCATCCTTACACTTATGTATTTGTTTTAATTCACACAAAGTCTCTTGACTAGAAAATGTGTGATTAGCATGCAAGAAATTAATGTAATATATTCATCATATTTATTCAGATTAGTCTCATTCTGTTATTAAACTAACCTAAAAAAGCAACTATCGGTTGTAATAAAAGGATGTTTTCAAAATAATAAATAATATTTATCCTTGGAATTGTGAAAATCCATACACGAATGTCCCACTCAAATCATCTCATTTAACTAGGGATAATAACATGTTTACTGGATCAATTTTATTTTGGCTTAGAACTTAAGTCTATAAATAATATCAAATAAGAGCAGGTATTATCCCTAATAGTTAATACATTTTTCAATCTTTAACTCATATCAGTTACATTTCAATATTCAGTGTTGTTTGTATAACATTTATAGGTGAATATTCAAATTAGATCGTAGTTTAACGGACCAAAATCTCTGTAGAAATGTGGATACCCATAATGAATAAAGTAATTCCCCCCCGCCGTCACTCATAATATTTTCAAGTCTTATGAAATAAAAAACATATTATAATTATATAGAAAATTTATGATTGTTTTCTGTAAATGAATAAATATTTCTAATGTTTATTTTATAGATTAGATACAATTCGTTTAACAAGTAGATTGGGTAAAGATTCCGGTGACTCTACTTTAGATATATTATGTAAGTATATCTATTCTACTTTTATTTATATTATTTGATATCCTTTGATTTATTTATAATACAATACAAACTTATTATATATTGATCATTAGATATTAAAACTAATTATACAACATTTATTTTTCTCTTTTCTGGTGATGAACTAAATATTCAGTGAGATTATCAAAATAAAACTTGTTTCTATGGTTCAATACAAGGAATATATTAATGTTATTCTAAATAATCGTTGATTTATTAGATCTACTTGATAATATGAACTGATTAAAATAGATTTCTTTGAAAACCTGGAGGCAATGGACGGCTTTGTCGTCCTAATATTGGACTCGAACTCAAAACCTTTGGTTTCATCTGAGAAAGCTGTGAATGTCTAACTTCAACCGAGCAATGCGCATTACCAAGGAGTCTTATATTAGGACGAAACAATCATCCAGGGCTCCCTAGTTTTCAATGGTGATCTATTTTAGATTTACTTATGATTTAAACTATTAAAATTACTACAATCTCCACAAACCCTAATTCTGATCATAGATCTCATTGATTTTGTCTTGTTAAAAAGAATATAAAACAGTTTGTGAGCAAGTATTATAGATTGGTAACAGAGTTTTGAAATCGTATTTATTCAGTGTTCATAATTCATTCAATTAATTCAAGAATAACCAACTGTTTATTTGATATTATTAAAATAGTGGATCAACTAATAGAATATTAATAAAATTAAAGAATGTAAAATGTACAAGTTTACGTACTTGACTTGGAGCCACATAGTTCTTGTGGAAACTAAAAACGCTTAACAGCGACTTGAAACAAATTTATTGACGAGCAATTTCAGTAGTATATCACTTGATTTTTGTTATTAGTTAAATATTTTAAACATTAAACCACACCCCCTCTTAAATAACAAAGAAAAAAACTTTAGCAATATAAGGAATATTTATATGTTAAAAATGGCATAACGTGTGATTAATTGTTTTAAGCTTAAAAAAAATGAAATTGAATTTCCGTTAACATACGTAAATCATCATAAAACAGCTAAGGTGATTTATCTAGTCACATAATAAAATGAAGCATTTAAATTAATCTCCTCTAAAGTATAACACTTCATTTATTGATTACCGCATAATTCAATCTTGGATGAGTTATTTGTAACATACGAGTTTGTTACTATAAGCATGGTAAGCAAAGACGGATAGTGGCTAGCAGTGGAATCCAGTTTGAGGCGCGTTTTGTCTTATTTAGGAATCGTCAGCTGAATGTACCTGCATCTCATAGTTGATGTTAACCATGAGACTTGAAGCCAGTACCTTTCACTTCAAACGCCATCGCGTTATCCATTAGGCCACTGAGTCCTGATAGGCAATTGCTCGTGCAATGGAGTGAAGTTTAAATTCAATTAGAATTGTTTGTTTGAATCTTCCCATTGATGCATCCTGGATCCTACTGCTAGCCGCTATCCATCTTTGCTTACCACGCTTGTGAATTTAAGCTACATCAAGGCAATACGCACAGTATGCACATATGCCAATTAGAGACTGACCAGTTGGGAAGATTCAAACATACAATACTAATTGAATTTGTTACTATAGTTTTGAAATTGTTATGCTAAAATACAACACAGTCAACGCCTATATAAAATTGAAATATGGAATTCATCTCAAAGGAACAAGAAATAAATTACATTTATAATTAAATTTTGTTACAGTATTCTAACTATTACAAATATATATACTTGGTTATGTCATGTAACTCAACATTCTTAATGACAAAGCATTCAACTGATATACCAGACACTATTGTAGTGAACAGAACACCGATAGGGGACAATCGAATATATTTTAGCAAAAATTACAGACTATCTCACTAAATTCTGGTAACTATACAACAAACAATTAATTTGCAAAATAACAACCAATTGTCTCAATCTTCGCTGTTCCTTATGTAAATATTAGTCCATCTTCTCCAATTCCATTGTTCATGCATTTTCCCACCGATTGCTCTTCGTTTCAGTTCTTTCCTTATCGGTCTTCTGCCAAAATTCATTCTATGTCTGACAATCGTAATATACTACTTATATGGATATAAATAGACCACACCACACTATTTACTCAATGTGATCATAAATCTACAATTTATATTATAATACAATTTTAAATGTCGTTGGTTAATACTCCATTATCGAAGATTCTATAAATAATGAATTTCAAGTTGGAATACGCATTCACTATATTATTCATAAATATTCATACCTTACATTTGATTCCATCAGTTGTAAATGGATACTTAGAAATTCACCTGATTCCGTGAAGTTTATATAGAAGATAGTTCTATGTTTACTATGCCTTTAACCATTAGTGCATCAACTCATTTATTTTATATAGTTCAACACAAACAATACGTGCTTATTTATATACTCTTGTTACCTAACTTGAAACATGGGCCACCAACCAGGATTCTTCCGATAACTTTATGCTGTCCTTGCCTTATCAACTGTCATCAAGTAATATCTATTCCGTTGAAATGAACAATAGGCCACATAGAATTTTACATTATGCAACCAGTCAGAGAAATGAAATTTAATAAGAGTGGTAAAAAGTACCTTGATGAATCACTCACTTTATTATATTATGAAGGTAACATCATCATAAGCCATAATTCATAAATCTTAGTGTATGCATAAATAGAAGATTTATGTTACAAAACTGAGTATAATTAAGTGATTGTTATTATAGGTCAACATAAGATGTGACAATAATTAATGTATTAAAAAATTGATATCTTGCTGATTGAACGTTATACTCGAATCCTAAGCTAGTATTGTGAGCCCCAGGCTAGAACTACACAGCGACTTGAACACGACAGAAAAGGCGCAAAATATACGAGAAGTAATTTGCTCTAAAAGTTTATTTATGTACAGAAAATATAGGGTTTTTATAGTATTTTAGAAGTCCTCGGGTTTTCGTGAAAATTCTAGAATTCTACTAAACATAGTAGCAGTGTAGTAATCAGCCAATTAGAGCCTTTACTTGTGACTTTAAATGTTCGTGATGTTTCTAGCACACCTTCTAGTCAAACGCTGATTGGATAAAATGCTTCTCCATGTTTCCTGAGCTTGTCATGTCATGAAACCACTGTCGAATAAATGTCATTCTATTAGAAAGCATCACAAACGGTATCCAATTCCTTGTATCAACCTAACACAAGATCGAATTATACTTTTCTATTAAAACCTGAACTATGTAGAATATCTAGAAAGTTAAAAAAAAATTTATTTCAACATAAAAAACTTTATAGACTGTTTTTTTAAAAAAAATTAATTATCTCGCATGAAATGTCTATCTACATTTTTCTTCCCTCTTTTTTATATACTATGATAGCTGCACATCGTAATCTCCTTTCATTACATTCAGACTCTGATTCTGATACAGAAACAACAGATTTACAATTAAATACAACTGGACGAAATAGTACAAGTCTTAGTGTCGTTAGTGGAGGAGGAAGTAGTAGTAGTAGTGGAACAGGTAATACTACTACTAGTAGCAGTAATAATACTAGTCTTAGTAGTTCTGGAGTTGCAAGTGGTATAGTATCAACAAGTAGTAATGTTTTATCAACTATTGTTGAATTTGGATCTAATCTATTTCGACCAGATTCTAAAAAATCAATACGTAATAAACGTTCAACAATAAATAATCTTAGTAATTCTACAGCTCCACCAATCAATCCAATAGATAATTTAGAAACAATAGCTATACATGAAGCTAATTTAGAAAGAGAATATTTATCAGCATGTTATCCAGTAGCTAGATGTATTGCAGCAATTGAAAAACAAGAAAATGGTCTAGCAACACATGTAAGTAAACAAATTTGTAATTATATTGTTATATAATAGTCGATTTAGATAAATTTCAACTTGAAATGATAAATATGAAACTTTTAGAAGTTGGTAAACAGATAGAAATTTCCATGCGTTTTTTCTTGATAAAGTCCCATTTTAAATAATACAAATTCTGAAAGATCATTTTCACTATTCGTTTCTACTGAATTATATGGTATTCTGAAGGTCAAGTTGTATCATTATAAATTCTCACAGTTATCTCATTCAAATAATGTTACTCTTTAAAAAGTAATGAGTAGATTCAAATAATGCTGAAATTAATAGGACTATAATTTATGGACAAGCTTTAAGCGACGCTAAAGTGACCTTGAGGATATCCGTCTACTAACTACGACTAAATTAGTGTTATGAAGCAGTGTGAAGATACCAAATTATGATCTATAGTTGATGGTTAGGGTTAAGAACTAGATTTAGGGTTTTCATTACAAACTGATATAAGCTAAAATTCCAAAGAGCTATTTAATCAAATGGACGAATGAATTTCACGCCAAAATACAAGATCTGTTATTTTATATCTGATTGGTTGGTCCATAAATTATAGTCTCACCATTAAATTTCTTCTTTAAGTGTTGTTTGAATCTTTCTCATTGCTGTTTCGAAATACAGTTGATCAGGCTCTTTTGGAATACATGCATCATGTGCGGATTGCTTAAATATTTTCATTGTCACAGGCAATGTAAACAAAGATGGATAGAACGAAATATACGTCCAGGATACCACTCCTCGACATATTTCATCTCTACTTAAAATGATGGAATTCGTAAAAGTATTAGGAATTGAATAAAAATTTCAATGTGAAATATTTAACGTGGATTAAATGTGTTTTACTTTAATGCTTCTACATCATATCGATATTATCTAATTACACTTTTCTAAAGTAATGAGTCCTTTAACCAACATCAATTGACTCATGATTTCAACTTTGAAATATACTGAAATCTCCACAAATCCCCTTCTGATTATAATCATATGCTCACTAGTGACTGACTTCAAGATACATATCCTGGAGTTCTAGTGGGAAGCAGTGACCAGTGGAGTTCAACCACGTCTGTTGTGAGATAACAACTCACTGAAGTCAATTAGTGAATGGTCGCTCAACTTCGTGGATCAGTTGAAGTTAGACATTAACACCGTTGGATGCCGGCCAGCTCAGTGGTCTATCGGTTAAGGTCTTCGGCTCGAGACTGGTAGGTCCTGGGTTCGAATCTCGCGAGAGCGGGTTCGTGGATGCGCACTGCTGAGGAGTCCCATAATAGGACGAAACGGCCGTCCAGTGCTTCCAGTTTTTCTATGGTGGTCTAGCTTCAATTGACTCATGATTTCAACATTGCAACATCATAGCATTCAATATTCAAAGTGTTGGTTGGATCTTCTATTAGACAGAATAAGTATTGATGCTTTTATCTTATTCAATTGGACTATCACGTTTATGCAGTCAACTGTCAACTTCTATGGACAGAAATCAACGCGTCAGTAGTAAACTCTGATGATATTGTACAGAACAATTATAAAAAACTTTGCGATTTTACTTCTTAGAGTGGAAAAATCGGTCAGTAACGGAAGCTTTTGTATGAATAGCAATTTTTCTCTTACAATTTTTTTATCAACTTAACTATTGGAATCCGATTAGCGCAATGGACCATACAAAAAAAGACTTTTAGTCACTATTCAATAATGAATCAACGTACATATCTCAGTCTAATAGTAAATCAGTAGCAGATCGATTAACTCAATTGTAACATTTCAGATCAGTAAACTAAGTGATCTGGGTTTGAATCCTATAAGTACTATTTTTCCTTGAAGAACATTTTCTACAGACCACCAACTATCCATCTATAGGACATATGATATAAATTACCAAGTCATTTAGACTAATGAGTATATTCACAACTTCAGAGATAATATTTTATCATTACCAAGAATTAGACACACATAACAACCATCACTACCGCATGACCAATCATTTACAAATAATATGAAGTAAAATGAAACTTTTACTCAAAACGCAATATTAAACTTGGAAAAATCGGTAGTTACACATTAATCTATTTCTTTATCAAATTTTATTCACAGAAATCAAAATGTTAGAAAAAAGTCAAAACAAAGAAGAAACTTATTTATTCTTCTGAACCAGTTCTACTTTATTTACTTTCGAAAGAAACCTGTTTATTTATATTCTAGTGGGATAAATTCTTTTGTTATTTCATGAATCGATTGAAGTTAGATCACCATTGAAAACCAGGAAGCGCTGAACGGCTTTTTTGTCGTAGTATGAGACTCCTCAGAAGCGCACATCGATGATCCCTCATGACTGGCCTCAAGAACTATTTCCTGAAGTCCTAGTGAAAATTCGTGACCAGTGGAGTTCAACCGTGTCTGTTACAAACTGGAAGCAATGGTGGACGGTCACCCAATATCATGAATTAGGTGAAGTTAGACATTAACACCGTTGGATTCCGACACATTGGTCTACATTTCGGGCATTTACTTGAGAGACCGAGTGTTGTGTGTGTGATCGTGGGCATGTGCCGTCGAGGAGTACCATACGAGAACGAAACGGTCGTCCATTGCTTTCAGCTTTACAATGGTGATCTACTTTAGATCGACTCACGAATTCAGTTATTAAGATTAATAAAATTTCCACAAACCCCTTTTCTTATAAACGAATTAGCTTATTCTTTTTGGCATCCTAAGCCTAAACTTTATTTACAAATAACTGTTTTTATTCTTTGTTTTTGTCTATTTAACTTTTTTGGCATAATAAGGGAATTTATCGTGTACCAGCGTCTAAAGCAAAAGTTTCTAATCTAATGGATTTGTTACAATCTAATCAATTAGTTAATAGTGAACAAATTCAAAGTGATATTGACTTGTTAAGTCAAGAACATCCACTTACATTGGCTAGTCTGGTGAAAACACAGCTGATTGCCGTAAGTGTATTGTTTGTATGTTTGTATGGAATTTCCCAAATCTTTTTAGGTTTATTTTCTTAATTATTACAGTGCAGAATTTACTGAATAGCAGGAACAACTAGATATCTGGTTCCTTCCAGTTTTTGTTTTGAACCATTTGAAGTGATGAAGTGGAATTATACCAACTGTAAAACTTTGTGACCACGCGGTCATCGTAAACATCAAACGTTGTCTATCTGAATCCTCGCATTGATGTTTAGGACTGCAATTGATCAATGACTTATTGACATATATGCGTCCTGTGAGGAAGAAAGCTATCATAGTGAACAGAACGAAACAGCTTAAAGTAGATTTTCTTCGAAATAATTCATAAGCCTTTATATTTTACTTGTCCTGATAACCGTTATTAAATAAACTCCAACGGTGTACGAATTCAGAAGACAAGATGAAGCCAAGACTACAGTTTATTAATAAATAGTACAGATCACTAAGCCACAAGCACGTCAAACAAATGTTAGCAGAAATGCTAATGTGCACAAACGAGCGAATAGAAGCAAATTAAGATTTGAATAAAGAATCGAGTGAAGTGATATGATCCAATCATATATATATATACAAGAAAGAATTAATATACAAGCCAGAAATAGGGATTTGTGCGTAGGTTGTCACATATGATCAAGCTTAAGTGTTCATACAGACATGATAATAATATGAAGATACACATTTTCGTAATTTTCGCATGACACTGTCTATTAAATTCGCTAACTAAAGGACTTGTCAAAATTAAATGTATACAGACTTTTGGGCATTGTAGGTGCTATAAGCTGTTCAATGGGTCATGGTATTCATTGCTTCCACAGCTAAGGTCAACCCATAACGAACAAAATCTATAAATTTTAATCATTCCCAATAAAACCACTTTCCAATTAAATTATTACTATCATCATATTGATATAATAACTCAAAGTAGAATATTGATAAAAATTATCTGTTCACTATAAAAACGATTAAAATACATTACTTGGGTGGTTATTAAAGATTAGTTTTATTTATTCATCATATACTGATATGGTTACCATAGTATTTCGTGAAGTAACTAAAATTTGATGTCAAGTTCATTGTTTAACAGTTGCTTGTTCACCACAAGACAAAACTCATCCAGTATCCAATACGTGGAGATGTTTTAGTCGAGCTCTTTTAAGGAATTTCAAATGAAAAAAGGACAAATGTTTTGTATACGTTTAGGGAGTGGTTGGTCAACTGAGTATTTCACTGTGTAACCAATTGATTAATTACTCAACATACTGTTGGGGATGTCAAATCCCCAGAACTTACTTGGTAAATGGCTTAGTTTTGTAATTTTATTTTATTTGAATTTAGCTGTTTTCGCGCCAAAAGCGCTCTTTTTACCTTCACGTCATATTTCCCACTTGTAAACTATCTTAAACGCTATTGGTTCATTGTTTCTTTATGTGTGCTATTTACTAATGATGCTCAAGGACAATTTGTTACTGTATAAATGCGCTTGACTTTTCCCCTTATTTGATTGCTTGTACTCGGCTGCTTACGGAATATATATATATATTCCCCTACTTGCCTTGGACTTCTTCATATAGTTAGCGGGGCCTGGGACAACCGATTAGAATAGCTTATCGTGTCATTGTGTCATTGGCTTTCGTTCGTTACCGCGGAATCGATTTAGTGTCAAGCATAACACATACACACAGATATTTTTTATTTGGGGCTTCATTTCGTTCAAATTTTAGAGTTACATAATTATTAAAATATAAACAATGAAGTATATTTTCGTTTAAATGGTTTGAATGTATCCATTGTTAATGTTGTGGACTCCAGACAATAAATCTGTTTTGAGATATGTGCATCCGAAACGGATTGTCTCGATACTACCCTTAAGTCTATAACATGTGTAAAAAGAGTATAGTTACCTGCATTTAATAGCCAATTGGACAAACTGTTAACAGTTTGGAACGATCGGGACTACGTTTGTGTTCCGGTATGAACATTAAAACCATATTAAAAGTATACACAATTGACGAAACGCATGTTTCTAATACCACTGCAAGCCATTATTCAATTCTGTTTAAAATGAAATACGTTGTCCAATGTTGATTGTTAGCATTAGTTATATTTTATCAACTGAAAATAAAATCTGGTCTGCTTTATTATTCATTATCTCTTTTTATTTATTTATTTACATTATTAAACAGCTACCTGAACCACTACTCACATACAATCTTTATCCGAATTTTGTTGAACTGGGAAAGGTAAGTTGGATTCATTCAAATTTATACTCAACATTGTTGACATGCTTTTCTATAAACGAACTTTAGTTACACAGCATTAATTTTAGCCATAATGTTTATATTTTTAAATTAATTGAAATACTATTCAATCCTTGATGCTGATGAGAACTTAAGAACACTAGACGGCCGTTTCGTCGTAGTATGGGATTCGTGGGCAGTCCGCATCCACTGCGTCACAACAGACACAGTTGAACTCCAATGATCAAGGATTCTCACTAGAACTCTAGGAAATCCATCTTGAAGCTAGTTCCTAGTTCGCACATGATAATTATCAGTGTAGGGTTGTGGAGATTGTTGATGTTTTTAAAATTAAGGTCATGATTATTCAGTGAAAAATGGTTTAAGACTTTTCAGAAGATCAAATATTTCCACATTATTAAAGTCATTGTAACTAAAATTCACTTGAAGGAACTGATCACAAAAAACAGTTTTATTCACTACAATTATAAACCGGAGTCTAATACTTTGTCATATTCTAATTTATTTGATCAGTATTTAATGAATAATAACTCTAAGTAACGTAAGTTATTCATTAAATTCTTTACAATACGAAAGTTTCTGTTCAGCCAATCGATACAAACCAATTTGATTAGATTATGATTGCTTAAATAGTCAGTCAGTCAGTCAGCTACAACATAGGACCAGGCACACATATGCATCGGTCCAAGTTGCTATACCTCATTAGCACAACAAGATGAAAACCGGATTCATAGAAGTAGTTAATTTAATGATGGCAATATATAAAAGAAAGGTTGTATATAAGGATATAGTATAGGAAAATAGACAGATATGAAGCAGTTTTAATCTCAAGTTTCGAGGGAAGATAAAGAGTGTATACACCTACACCATTGTGATCGATTCTGAGCCATGTCACCTAGAGTCTCCAACCATTGGTTACGATAGTCACGCGGACCTCAACCAAGTAGCCTGCATCTACCAACATGACTCAGACTAGAAGTTAATGACTTCATGCTCTGATGCCACGTTTTGGTTTGGCCGCCCTAACGTTCTTTCAACGATTGCCAATACTAGGAACACTTAAATAATCAAGGATTATATAAATATTTCAAAAAGGTGTAGTAAACATTTACAATCCGAATCTAGTCCATGAAAATTATCTAAGTGCTCGTCGAATAAGTCTAACAAATTATACATTTCTTAAATTAGGAAAACATTCACCTTCAAGTCAAATATTTACAACACTATATATTCAAAATAAACAAACATATTATGCAAATAAATGAATTAACAGTTGTAATAGATTTAAACATCAAATATTAACTGTGCTGATAGCTTCAACACCTTCTTAACTGTCTACAAACAAATTTAGCAGTTCAATGGATGTTTGTTCATTGTTTAATTTTATGCGTATATAACAGAAGGTCTAGTAACATGTTTATACAAGATGTCGGAATAGTGAAGTACCATGAATTATCTATGTATATTCAAATCAATTATGAATTAATTATATACCTTATCAGATGGGGAAGTAACATAAATATTACTTCGAATTACAATTTTCAACGTAATGTTTTCTTTTGTTAGTAAGTGTAAATTAATACTTTTCAACAAGTAACACTGTCTAGAAACTTTCCTTTAAGAAACATTCCTTTATATATATATATACATAAAGAACAATATTTACTTAGTTGTATGATAATGTTGGCAATCAATTTGGTAACCAAAAATCATTTCACTCTATAGCACTTCATTCTAACATTTATGTTCTACAAAGCTAGGTGTTTGTTATTTTCAATTTAAAACATCTTCATTAATATATGATTTACAATTGATTTATCACTGGTTAGTTATCAGTTTGATGTGTATCAGGTGCTTCTTAGTGCAGATTGGATTCTATTGACCAAGTTGAACTGTGACTACTACTTGAGAGGACTCGACATTGTGTGAACAGTTTCATGAATCAACTAGTCTCAACATAGTCGACGCAATATTGAGTCACCTAAACTAGTGGCCACAGTGTAACTTGGTCAATAGAATCCAATCTGCACTACGAGGCACCCGACACACATCATACTTATCACTAACCAGTGATCATCAATTGTTAATACATCTCGGTCCTACAGGAGGTTAGTTTCGTCCCCGATAGCTCAGAGACACGGGATCGAATCCGTCATGGAGAATCATTCTCCCCCCAAGATTACAGGTACACCTTCCTGACGACAACTAAATACACGAAACCTAGGTCCATGGTTCCCTGTCGACTACCTCCAACCACCATCCCATCTCGGTATATGATTTGTTTTGTAGATTTTATAGAAACTGGTTCAGTTTGTATGTAGAATTCGTTATCGACTTATCCTATTTGAAGCACTAATCGAAACCAGTGATCACCAGTCACCTAGCTAAATGAGACCCAGTAGTTTTAATTTTTAAGCTTTTGTCAATATATCCAAAGATATTTCGTTGGATATCCAGTCGGATTATTTCTTTTAAAGAGCTTTAAAACTAGAATGAAACAGCTGTTCAATTCTCTCTTATTTTTATTGGTGCGATATGATGTAAAACTACCTTACCAAATATCAAAGAAAATGTAGAATAAATTTAAAAAAGGATAAAGAAATAACAATCCTTGAAAAGAAATTAAAGAAAGTTTTTTTTTGTAAAAAAACAACAACAATCATTAGCCAGACAAGACTTTTTCTCATTATACATGTGTATTAACTGATTGTATTTATATATATTATTACTTTCTTAGAATATGAATATATGGTGTAGAATATTGGTAGCTCAGGTGGATGATTTGGGTGGAGTTTCATTCTCTGAGCTGAATGATTTGGTCGTGAAGCTTTCATCGTTATTCTTAACTACATCATTAACACAAAATTCCGATAGATGCTGAAGTTTGTGCTGATGATTTTGCTTAGAATAAAGATAAATACTCCACGATTAAACTATCCATCTCAGAGAACAAAACTCCACCAAAATATGATTGTAAAGTTGTGAGGTGTATATTATTTCTAGTAGGCATAATATTTTTTCACTATCCTACATAAAATAAATAAATCACTGTCCATTTGTGTTATAACTTTAGAAAAATAATTAACTAGCTTATATAAATCTGTGTATTTTTTTAGGGGGTGAAATGATTAACACATGTATTCTCATAAGATGATGGTTGGAGGTGGTCAACAGGAAACCCTGGACCCGGGTTTCGAGCCACTTGGCACTCGTTAGCATGGTGTATCTGTAATCTTGAGGGAACTGGTGCTCCCTGACGGATTCGATCCCGTGTCACTCAGATTCACAGTCAGAGACATTACCACTGAGTTACTCGGGTCGCGACCGACCTCCTGTAGGACTGAGATGTAATCGCAATTGACTGATCACTGGTTGGTGATCAATGTCATACGTGTCACTCCTTCTTACCGCTGATCGAATGCTATCGATCGTGTTTGTATGTATTCTCATACTCAATAAATATCCGATAGAATAACTGATGTTTATTATCATGAAAAAAAGAGATTTACCCAGGGGTCATTGTATGGTAAAATTAATTCATTTGTATTCAATGATAAATTTATTTGTAACATTAAAGCAAATTTAGGCAACCATAATAATTAATCATTCAATGTGCTTATGGATGGCAGTAAAATCTATGGTGTGCTAACAAATTAAAATTTTGAATCAGAAGTAAGTCCTACGTTCACAGAACCTTAGAAATGTCAATTTATGACGCTTGAAAGCTAAAATTGAATGTTGCTACTCTGTCACTCGGTTTAAGAATGATCTTCTGTAGGACTGATTTTTCGAAATCCCTCATAGACTGTATTTCGAATTTTTACAAATTTAGTAACTATATATTAAATCATTTTCAAAATTAACAACCACAAAATATATAAATTCTTACAGACAAACTTCTTCAGTAAGCAAAGATGGATAGTGACTAGCAGTGGAATCCAGTTTAAAGCGCGTTTCATGCTATTTGGGACCCGTCAGTCGGATGTATCTGCACCTCAGAGTTGATGTTCACTCTGGGACTGCAACCCAGAACCGTTCGCTTCAAACGCCATCACGTCATCCACTCGGCCACTGAGTCCTGATAGCCACTTACTTGTGCAATGGGGTGAAGCTTTTAAATTCGCTTAGTATTGATTCTTTGAATCGACCCATCGAGTCCCAGGGTGAACATCAACTCTGAGAAGCAGGTACATCCAGCTGATGAGTCCCAAATAGGACGAAACGCGTGTCCTGGATTCCACTGCTAGTCACAATCCCTCTTCGCTTATAATGCTTGTGAATTGAGGTTATATCGAGGCGATATGCACATTATGCACATATGCCAATAAGAGACTGACCAGTTGCAGTCCTAAACGTCAATGGGAAGATCCAAACAAGTAATACCAAGTGAATTTAGGCTTCTTCATTGTTTTCTGTTATGAAAATTTATGAACTTGTAATGACTTTATAAACTGTAGTGTAATTTGTCAGACTGTCTAGTCTTTCATAATACTTAAAATCTGTCTAACTAAGCAAATTGGTGGATCAACATTTGACTCTTCTTTAATTAAGAGCTAAGTTGTTTACAAAATTCATACTAATCTTTGAAATAATTCAATAAAAGCAAAATTTCAGTAGTTAGTATGTTTGACAGATTATTATTATTATCCCTTCTACATTATTGCTACACATAATTTCAGAGAAACAATTACTAAGGAGAGGTATTTATATATTTTATATTCTTAAAGTGATGAAATATCTGAACTATGTACTATTTTTCTAATCCTCTTCAAAGAATATAATGACTAAACAGGTAACTATAAATTCACAAACAGCATGACATTGATCACCACCCAGTGATCAATCAATGTGATTACATCTCGGTTCTACAGGAAGTCGGTCACGGCCCGAATAGCTCAGTGGCAACGTCTCTATATTATGGTCTCGACTAAGTCCCATGCTATCACTTAATAACTATTCAGTGTTTTCCAGCTTTCACATATTGCCCAGTTACAATGAATTTATGATGTAAACTATGAAATTATTACGTCAATCACTTAGGCAGTTGATTAACCATTATGTTTTTTTCAGGTCAATTAAATCAAAATTCTTTAGTTTAATTTCACATTTGGCACCAACCAACTTAACTATTTTTTTTAATCTATTTGGCATTGTTCAAGTAATAAAAAACAACAACACATAAACCTTAACTGATTACAATTCAACTTTTCATGTTGTTGTTTTCAACAACCGAATGATTCGCTTGTACACTGTTATATCTATCACAATGTTGTATTTACTTAATCAAATGACATATATATATATATATATATATATATATATATATATATATATATATATATATATGGGTTATCCAGAGTGGAACAATGAATAGAATTATCTTTATTTTTGGCTAAAATCAATCATCAACTCAAATTAAGGTCATCACAGTGTGAATACAGTCAATTTACTTTGTACAAGATTTTATGGTATTTATAGTATTCAACTATTTTTGTTCTTCATCTAACCAGTTAGTTACATTTAAATAGAAATTACTATTGAAATAAACAACAGATATATATAATAGAGATTATATTTCATTTTGTTTATAGAATTTGTTCAATGTATATGTGTGATTAACATCATGAATTAATGATCATTTGAAGAATGATTGAAAAGCAAATAAACAAACATAAAATTAAAACAGTGCTGTATTATTTGAATTAATTATATTTGAAAAATATGATTGATTGTAGTCAGAAATAGTCGTTAAAATGATATTGTGTACATTATGAAACATTAAAGATCTAAACAAAGGTGGATAGTGGTTAGCAGTGGAATCCAGTTTAAAGCGCGTTTCATCTTATTTGGGACTCGTCAGGTGGATGTACTTGTATCTCATAGTTGATATTCACTCTGGGACCCGAATCCAATACCGTTCGCTTCAAACGCCATCACGTTGTCCACTTAGCTACTGAGTCCCGATATCCACTTACTTGTGCAATGGGGTGAAGCTTTTAAATTCGCTTAGTATTGATTCTTTGAATCGACCCATCGAGTCCTAGGGTGAACATCAACTCTGAGATGTAGGAACATCCAGCTGATAAGTCCCAAATAGGACGAAACGCGCGTCAAACTGGATTCCACTGTTAACCACTGTCCATCTCTGCTTACCATGCTTGTGAATTAAGTCAATATCGAGGCAATACGCACAGTATGCACATATTCCAATAAGAGATTGACCAATTGCAGTCCTAAAACATCAATGGGAAGATTCAAACAAACAATACTAAATGAATTAAAGATCTAAATTTAGTTTTTTGTACAATGTTTGATGTTTGAAAACGTTTATATATTGGTTTAAATGTATCATCACTATTAATTTAGTTTTCTACTGGTTTTACAATGAAAATTGATTACGGATGTTTGTTTGTTTTTTCTGAAAAATATTGTCAAATAAATTTAAAATACTTTCTTGGAATTATCGTCTTCTTCATTCATATATTCCCTATATGGGATATTTATATATAAAGATTGTTTTTTTTTGTTTTTTGTACATGATATTCTACAATAAAGAAAATCATTCATTATAAAATTTTAAAGGTAGAATTGTGTATTCATTGTTGATCAAATATTATCTGTGACACGTTAGAAAAAATATCTTACTCCAGTTAAAGACTTGTAGTGGTCGATATTCGATATTATCCTTAAGCTTCGTATATTGTTCGTCCTGTTAACGGTTACTCGATAACGCCTTGACGGTATATAAATCAGATGGCGTATACGAAGTGTTGATTGCGTTTACTATTAGACCATATACATATATCTAAAACTACATGCACATTAAGCATTCATGAAAGAGTAGTGCCATAAAGCAAGCGAGTGAGCGCGCGAGTCGAATGAGCGAGCGCGAGACCGATTAATCGAGTGATCGAGTAAGCGAGTACAGTGAACAGGATTAAGATATGCATATATATACAAATGTAAATGCATGAATCATCGAATCAATTAAGTGATTAATAGTAAGGCTAGCAGAATGAATACATGCGTAGGCAGTAAGCAATGCTGAAGGGTACATAATAAAGGTCCAATAGTATAGAAAGATTGTTATTATACGAATGACTCTATCCGTTAAATAAATAATAGATACTATAGTGATCAGAATTTATATTTCAAATTCATCTGAAAAATTCCATCGAATTTCTTTCATGTTTGTACATTCAGTAAATCCCATAGAAGTATACGTCAATAGATCCAATATTTGAATACTGAAAACGTTTGTACAACTTCTTAATTTACCTCTATCTTCCACTAAGTTCACTTTACATTTCTCAACACCTCTTCAACTTTAATTTCCAATTTTATTACTAAATAATCTCTTTTAATAAACTAATGATCTAACCCGTTTATATTAATCACTCATTATTGTTTTATAAATAATGATAAACTTTTATATTGAATTACTTAATTTTAGATTGATTACATATTCTTACGTAATGAATTATAGTAATTAACTGATTAAGTGATTCCCTTTCATTGTTTACATCACATTCATTGAATAAGAGATCAGTTAATATCTTTAGCAAAAATATCGAGTTGTGCTGAAATAAACTAACACCATTTATTTGATAACAATTTTCTACTTAATTGTGAAACATATATATAGAGAGAGATATATAAGTGCGAAGCCATAAAGGGAAACGAGAAAGATTTCTTTCGTCGACTTATATTTTATAATATCCTAATAAAAATATTAAATCAGAAGGCGGATTTTGTCGAAATTGTAGTATTCTTTGTAGTTGAATTCGTGGATCAATCTAAACAAGATCACCAATGAAAACTTGAAAGCACTTGATGGTCGTTTCATCTTAGTATGAGACTGCTCAGAGCGCCACTGAGGAGTCCCATACTAAGGTAAAACAGTCGTCCAGTGCTTTCAGGTTTTCAATGGTGGTCGAGTTTAGATTGACCCATGAATTCAACTATCAAAAATATTAAATGACTTAAATTACATTCAAGCTTATTATTCGTTTATGTGTTTTTGTTTTTGTTTTTCTATATATTCTATACATTTGTCTAGGCATTTGACTTAGTTGATTCAAATATAACTGACGAACTGATGAAACGTCTTCAATTATTGATTAATCATTTAAGTCCTGGTAATCGTCAATTAGCTGGATTAATTTTTCATCATTTACACAGGTAATAAATAAAAGAATAACTAAAACTTTTTTTGATGTGTTACTACTATTGGGATAGTTTCAATAGCTTTGTCAGTTAATCAATAAAAACATACTATTTTCATAGATTTAATTATTTCTTTGTAATTGCATAACTGTATTCGTTCGAATTTCATTATAAACCAAATATTTAAACATTGATGGAAAATTAGGAAGTATGCAACTATTAGTATGTTCTGAGTTAGTACCATCGAATAAGCGGATATTCAAGAATAAATAAAACAATAGTTTATTCGTTTTTTTGGTCATATCAAGACATACTTACGCCAATGAGTTGAAATACAGTGATTAGTTTGTGATAAAAGAACTACTTTCAAAATACTGCTATTAGTTTAGTATTCATCTCTCGTTGCCAATATAGTACAGCGACTTAAGCTAATGAACATTGATATCAGGTTTTAATATACATGTGACTGACCTTCTATCACCAATACAGAACTATGATATAATCATTTTATTATTCCGATGCTTAGTGACAATTAGATAATAAATGGAAATCGATTTTCAGTCAGTTAACCCCAGTTTATATGATTCAACTACTGTATAATAATAAATTTTATTTGAGAAACGTCAATGTTTCGGAATCATGTAGGCTAACTGCAATGTTAATACACAATGATAATGAAAAAAATAGTACTCAGGTAATTGTCAGTCTTCATAAAGATACTGGGTTCTATCAGATTTTGTCAGTTAAAAAGCACCATGGAAATTATATTCATCAACTTTTTCAACAGTTTCACTTAATTTCATACAAAATAAATGAAATCATGTCAAATACTCGTTAACTACAAATTATTACAGTTTTATAGTTGTTTGAAATTGTAAATTATATAAGTTAGATCAACATTTCAAGGCAATATAGTTGTACACAAATCTCTCAGTATAAATTAAACATTTTTAGGAAATAAATATGAGCACAGGGTTGTGAAAATTGTTGAGTTTAGATTGATATCGTGAATGAATCGATGTTAGACCGTTATTGAAGACCAGAAAGCACTGGAAAGCTGCTTCGTCCTAGTATGGGACTCGTGGACAGTAAGCATCCAAAATCCCACATGTGGGACTCGGATCCAGGACCTTTAGTCTCGCGCGCGAAATGGTCGCTCAGTGGTTCCAAATTTTCGATGGTGGTCTAACATCGATCCGTTCATGATATCAATCTAAAATAAGTATGAATTTAATAATAAACAAATTAGGACTAATCATAAAGTCAGAATCTATTTTTCCTTCCATCAAAAGATGACATTAGAAACATTGTCTTACTTTAATAGAATCAGTAATATTTAGTCATGTTAATAGCCTATTCAAGACAAAGGAGTACTAATTAGAAGAGGTTGCATCATTTAACAAAGTAATCAACAATCATCAACAGTTTATGTTATGTAACAATATTGGATGTAATAAAAAGTAATCATCTATGAAAGATGAAGATAACTGTCTACTTAATAAAAGACAAGAAGACAATAAGTAGAAATTATAATTCATAAGATTCTTTGATAACTTTGTAAAATTCTTCCATTTTATTATGGACTACAACATTAAAAAAAAAAACATTCACCTGTAAATACATTTTTGCAGCTTCAGAAAATGATATCGTCAAAAAGAGAATTTTGTTCACTGAAAAGTCTTCATTCCTACTAATTACTTGATGGACTTCTATAAATCTTACATAGCCATATCAATCTACTGGTACGATCTAGTCTACTGAAAAAAAGGAAATACAATATTTTTCATAGTTGAAATCATGAGTCAATTGAAGCTAGACCACAATGGAAAACCTGGAAGTACTGGACGGCTGTCTCGTCCTATTACGGGACTCCTTAGTGGCAGTGCGCATCCACGATCTCGCACTCGCAAAATTCGAACCCAGGACCTACCAGTCTCATGATTTCAATTATGAAAAGTACTGAAATCTCCACAAAACCCCTTCTCAAACACAATATTTTAAAAGAACAAAATTTATTTTGACAGAGTTTTATCAATAATTTGCAGTACCATAAATATCCAAAAGACGTAACTAAATAAAATACAGAAATGAATTATATTTATTCAGAAATCGAGCTCCATATACTAGAATGCCTCCTTAATAAGGAGTTTCTATTTTCTCCATAATTATCCATAATGCAAATACTTTTAAAACTTTTTGCAAAATTGCTATATCGATGCAATTCTATCAGGATGCATTTACACCAACATCGAATGATCGAAATTCAGTTTAATGGAATAATAATAAAAACCCATACCCATAATATATAAACAAAGACATTTTGTGTAGATAGATGTTCAATTTTTTTTTGGAAGGTCATAGAGGTCACTGTAAAATAAACGTAAATTAAACAATACAAATAATACTTTAAGGTATACATGAAAACAAATTCAAAGATTATAACACTAAAAATATTATTGCATTTCTAAGTTCACCGGATAAGTACCATTTAAAAGGATTATTTTGAACGTTTATATTTGGTACATAGTTAATGGAATGTGTTAACTTTATTAATAGTCCCATTTCATATATAGTGATTAGTTAGACGGTCAAGGAATGAATTGACAATTACTGACTTTGTGTTACATATTGTTGTGATAGGATGCTGTGAGACCACTTAGTCAGGGCACATATACCAATAGTAATTCGTTGTTAGATAGCTTAGATTATTGCGTACAAAAATGTGTTTGTATAGTTTGTAGATGTATAGCGCATCCTATTTCTCCATACGTCTAATACTACTGGAAGTTTTTTAAGTAGTAAAATGAACATTTTTAAAAATTGCATAATTTTCCACTGTCTTACCTTAATAACATTTCAGAGTCGCTGAATGTCAGTCGGAAAATCAAATGGGAGCTGTTAATTTAGGTACAATGTTTGCTCCAACAGTATTACGTCAAAGACCTAAGTGAGTTTTTAAATTTATTATTTATATACAGTTTTCATTTTACTAAGCAATATAACCACTTATGGGAATTGTATAACTAGACTAAGAGTCCCACAATAGGTCAAAACGGCCGTCCAGTGCTTCCAGGTTTTCCAGGATGGTCCAGCTTCAATCGACTCATGATTTCAACAATTAAAATTGTATAGCTGTTAAAAATAATGACTAATTTGTACAATTTATTGTTGGTATAAGTTTGAGTATAACAAAAATAACAAATTAAACAGTACCAAGGAAATTCATCATGTTTTGCCGATTGTCATCAATTTCTCTACAAATATAACCAATCTATTAGAATAAGGATTATTAGCTACTGTTTAAAGACATTGTAGGAATAGTTTACATTCTTAACTATAGCCTTTAAAAACTAGTAATCAGTAAGTACTTGTTTTTTCCTAATACGAAATTTTTAAAAATACTCATCATTGAAACTGTCATGAGAAAGCTACATTAGCTACTAACCAAGCATTCTGAAACTTATAGCATACATTGTACCAGATGGATAGTTGTAAATTTGTTTTTTCTAGTCTCATGAATTCTCGATGCTAAGTAATTTTATATTATTATTATTATTATTCATTAATCGCGATTTTTCTCTGGTTTCTTAAAGATACAAATTATTTTAATCAAATGAACTAAACATGTTGATCGAACAGGACAATAAGCAATTATTAAGTAAAAATACTTACAATCGTAAAAACATACATATATATGTAAGATCATAAGCAAAGATGGATAATGACTAGCAGTGGAATCCAGTTTAAAGCACGTTTCATGCTATTCGGGACTCGTCAACTGGATTTACCTGCATCTCAGAATTGATGTTCACTCTGGGACTCTTACCTAGTACTTTTCTCTTCAAACGCCATCGCGTTATCCACTCGGTAGGGTTTAACTATACTGAAGGTTAATTAATTGGAGTTGAATATTTGGTTTAATGCAATCTATCTCAGTGGTGTTGACATAATGCTTATGCTGTTGTACTTGAGGTTTTATAGATTTATCTAGGGAAGGATTGTGAATTTCAGTTTTAAACAAATTTGTATCATGAAAAAATGGTTTATCAATTCTCCCTAGTTTTCAATTACGCCTCAGTTGATGTTAATCCTTGATAAATAGACCAATCAGATTAAAATAACCTCCAGACAATCTTCAACTCAGATATTTTCATCATCTTTATTCATTTCATAAACATATATTTTCTTTTACAGATTTCAAGTAGCTAATATGATGGAATTCATGGATAATAAAGGTCAGACAAAAGTTGTTGAATTATTAATTGATCGTGTTTTTCAAGTATTTGGTTCATCAGAACAATATGATCCGATCAAATTAATTACAGCGCATATTACATCAAATGATGATAAAACTACAATATCTGATTATAATCGAATGAATTCAGCACGTGGTAGTATTTCACTAGCTAATTGTGAGCGATCTAAATCAACCTGTGGTACAATTGTAGATAGTGTCCCTGATACAGCAACCAATATGTCTAGTAAAATTCATACTACTAACACTATAACAACCATCACTACTGCTACTACCGTTAGTACTACTACTAGCAATAAAACCGTTAATACTGATATACCAACGTCGACAACTTTCACACTTGTTGGTACAACCAACAGCAATACTACTCATACTAGTAACAGTAATAATCATGATAATATTATCAATATTATTAAAGTAACTACAACAACACTTCCATCTTCTGGTTTATTAAGATCGGCAACAATATCTGTTTCACCGCAAATCCGACCTACAGGAAGTGAGTGTTATTTTCTTTTTTCGATTTGCACACTTATTTAACATAAACTAACTCATTAAAAAAAACTTAAAACATTAGTAATTAATTTCATTTGTTCCATTTACAGAAAATGTGTCGAGACTATAATTTATGAATGACCATTAAGCAGTACTAAAATGGAATATCAACCTACTTATCAGGGTTAATAAAGTTTATAATAAATATGAAGAATTAGGATTAGGGTTTATAGTTGAACGTTATGGTTAGAAATGAGATTTAATGTTTCCAGCACGAACTGACATCAGCTATAATACCGAAACGATATTTAGTCAGATGGATGAATAAATATCGAGCCAAAATCCAAGACCGACTATCTCAAATGTGATTGTTCCGTTCGTAAATTACAGTCTCGCCGAAAATGGATAGTTCAGTAAAAGAAAGTATAAAAGCATATTTTGAGTTGCACTGAAACAACATACCTAGAACAATATGAAGTGGATAGGTTCATATAATTTACGAAAATCATATATTTGTATATTCTTGAACTGTTTTTCTGATTGATATTGATGATAAGTCCTCAAAACAACCATAAGTTGAATTCACAAATAGTAACTTTATTTATGAGCGTCATATCAGCCTAATAATTTATTTGTCTATCATATAGCATAAATGCAATGCAATCATACCTTAAGGTTTTTGCTCTCACATCATAGTAGCAACGTGAGTTTTCACTACTGTGAAGTTCCATACTAAAACAAAATATATGTCACTAGTCCCCATGTTTTCAAGAGTTCCTCGGCTGATATCCATTTCTAACAAAAAGGCTCAACAATCAAATATACACAAAAACAGGCTCTATTCAATATGGAATGAATGAAATATGACTAGAAATGGGATACAAGCCACACATTTCTTTCCATTTCCGACTCATTAGTCGGATGTACCTGCATCTCAGAGTTGATGTCCACTCCGTGTCTTAAACCCACTAATACTGGTTTTAAACACTGTCCCATTATTCATTTAGTAACAAAGCCCGAAAAAACTCGCAGTTTTGCAACACGTATAAATTTTAATTCACTTTGAAATGGTTTGTATAATCCTACTGTTGATTGTTTCTGACTGAAATTTGATCAGTCTTGGTTGGCATATGGCCATACTGAATCCCAATACTAGCCACATTTCATCTATTTTATATCAACTCGTACAATATTGGCTATAACGAAGTATTCCCCACAGAATACCTATATGCCAAACAAGACTAATTAAATTCCAGTAAGAACTATCAATAACGAGGTCATTTAAACCATTTTAAATTAAAATAATTCTTGAGTCAGTTTGAAGCTCATGAATGACAGAGTAACAACGAAACGAATAATGTGTAAGGCTAACTGTAAATAGAAAGATTAAACATGTTTGTTTGTAACTGATTCTTACTGTCTATGGATTGTATATAGTTGAAATGATGATTCAACTAAAGCTAGACCACTGTGGAAAACCTGGAAGCACTGGACGGCCGTTTCATTCTATTGTGAGACTCCTCTGCAGTGCTCATCCACGATCCCGCCTCGCGAGCTTGACAATTTTTTTATCTTAGCAAATACTGGGACGATTTTTTTAATTAATCCGTTTCAATTATTATTTCTATCATTTAAGTTCATTTTCCAATTTATTTTATTAGCCCTGCTTACTGGAGCCCTACCATTGTATACTCCATATCGACAGAATCAAGGATTTAATAAAGACAGTGCAAATATCGAAGAAACTCCTTCTAATACTAGTTCCGATATCACAGTTTCTTCATTACATGGAGCTGATAAACATGACAAAATACATAAAAGATATAATCCTGTAATATATGACAAACCAACTAATATAAAACCTGGTATGAGACTTCAAGATTTAGCTAAGCCAGTTAGTGAACCAACTGTCACTATATCATCTCAAATATCTAATCCACCAACTACTGGAATCGTCACGACTACCAGTACTACTACTACTACTGTTATTCCTTCTGCCAGTAATATTATCAATGTGAATGAAGCTCCTCCTTCATCGTCATCATCAATTGTACGTGGGATTAAAAAACTCTATTCTTCAAGTGGTCAACATTCGATTTCTCCATCTACAATCGCTTCATCAATTACAACATCAAAGTTGTTTCACTCATCTGATAAACAAAATACTTCAAATACATCATCTACTGATCCGAATACAAATACAGCCCTATCAAGTTTGATAATTGGACGTCGTAAACCTCTTGCACGATTGTTGACTTTACATCAAGCTGTAGAGAATTCAGATGATGTATCCCCTGTGAATCCTACGAATTTAGATCAATATAGTTTCATTGATAATGATTTGCCTGGTAAGAATAAACAACTTTGATTGTAAACAGTTTTATAATCTAGAAGTATATTACTACTGAAATATTTTCGCTTAACATTCATCTAATAAAAATAAACTCCCTGTTTTATACAATCGGGCTTAATTTTATACAATATCAACTTTATCAGAATGAGGATTTGTGTAGATTATTGTAATTTTAATTATTGAATTCATGTCTAACTTCAACCAATCCGCAGTATTGTGCGACTGTTTACCACTGTCTTCAGTGAGAAACTGCCTCACAACAGATACGGTTGAACTCCACTAGTCACAGTTCCTCACTAGAACTCCAGGAAATACATTTTGAAACCAGTCACTTGCGAGCACATGATAATATTAGGACGAAACGACCGTCCGATGCTTTCAGGTTTCCAATATTAGTCTAGCTTAAATTGACTCATGAATTCAACTCTTAAAATATCTACCTTATCCCTCTATTAAACAACTGAACTTCATAATGATAAATTTTACCAATAACCGATTAATACTTGTGTCGCACAATATAACTTAGTTTTCTGGAATATACCTGTTATGAAAATTTATCATCAGTAGATGTTTTATATTAACAAATATTCAAAGAAAATAATTAATGGGAATGAGGGAGAAATAAAGATCTATTTTTCTTCTTAACTTTGTGGTCAATAAAAATGTATAACAGAATATACAAACATTTCTTCACAATCACATTAAGGTTCTCCAATAGTCGTAGTGAACAAGAACACGAGTTAGGACAACCAAATTTATTTAGGCTTAAAACTACAGAATATCTCAGTAAAATATGAGAACCATATTTAGTTAATTTGCAAACTATCAATCAATTGTCTCAATCTTGACTGTTCCTCCTGCAAATATCAGTCCATCGTCTCTGATTATTATTGTTCATGCATTTTCATAACAATTTCTTTCCGTTCTCATTCTCTCCTTATTGATCTTCTATTGAAATACATTCGAAGCCTGACCATCGTTATGTACTACTTATGTGGATATAAGTAATCCACATCACAATAGTGACTAGTCCAAAGATTAATTTCTTAACGTTTCAAAATAAAGTAATAGCTTATAGAATTAAGCATGAGTCGATAACAAAATGGTAAATTACCAATGGGATAAAAATTCGATAATGATTTAGTGTATTTTATGTTAGACTGGCAATAGAATCCAGAACTCATGTCTTATTTTATTGAAGACTCGTCATATGAATGAACTTGGATTCCAGTGTAGGTGAATACTTATTGACTCAAACACATTCTCTTTTGCTTTGAATTCTTTGAGCGTTATCAACTAAACTATAGGTTCTATAAAGCTAATAACCTGTTTACCAATTGTAAATATGCTCATAAAAGCTTGTGAATTCCCCGTTTTTCATATTCAAAATTATAATTGAGCCAGTAAGTTCTGATAATTATATAATAACTAGCTCTGTAGATAACGTGTTCAGCGTTTGAAGCGAAAGATAATGAGTTGGGGTTTTAGTGTCAACATCCAGCTGATGAGTCAGAAGTGAGGTGAAACGTAAGCTTTGTATTCAGTAGGTAACCACAAAGCAGACAATAACCGAGCTATTCAAGTAACGATAATTAGTGTCAGAAATTATATAGCTGTTTGGATAAAAATGGATTTGTTTCATTTTAATAGGTAAAATCAACTTATACTCTCTAACTTTCAACTATTTATCTCATTGATCTCATGAAAAAATCAATGCTAGATCACCTTTTGAAACCTGAAAGCATGGGAAAGCTGTTTTGTCTTAGCACAAAATTTCTCATCACTGCGCACCTATGACTCGCACACCAGTTGCTGGTTTTGAGAGGCCATTCCCGGAGTCCTAGTGTGAAGCCATGAACAGTGAAGTTTAAGCATGTTAAGAGAGTGTCGGTTAACCACCTAAGACAATAGAAGACGGGTGCGCAATCATATGGATTGGTCGAAGTTAGACATTAACACCTACGGATTCCGACTCAATGATCTAGATGTTAAGCATTAAAGACTAGAAGTCATGAGTTCGATTCCCACGTAAGGGGTCGTAATCGTGCACTACAGAGGAGTCTCATACTAGAACGAAACCGCTGTCTAGTGCTTACAGACTTTCAATGATGGTTTAACTATGATCGTTTCATGATCTCAATAAACCTCAACAATCTTTCTAACCCTATACTTACTGTTCGTTATATGATGACTAAACAATGATGCTGTCTTACAGTCTGAAATCTACCTGAACATATTATACACTCAAGGTTATTTAAGAATAACATTGAAAGCGCTACAATTTTTTTTGTTTTTGCTACGGAGCTTCTTAGTCTCCATGAATATATTTTAAACGGAGATGAATATTGGTTCACAATGAGATCTAAGACACCTGTTTCATCATATTTGAAACTTGTCAGTTAGATGTGCCTCAATCCCAGAGTTGACATTCACTCTAAGACTTAAAATCCAATAACACATATATATTAAACAATTATAAAGCTTTAAAAATAAACTCATTAAAATGTAGTCATTCATTCCATTAATTAATTTATATTGAAATGTACTTAGTAAACTTGATCCAATCAAATCATATAACCTTTTCTTTTTCATTAAAGTAAATCATTCATGTAAATTATTATCAGTGAGATATGAATTACAATGTCAACCAATGAAATCATACTAATTAAAATGCAAAAAAGAAAAATATATATTTTACATATAACCCTATTTTTCATAGTAGAAAGCATGAGTCAATTGAAACTAGACCACTATGGAAAACCTGGAAACACTGGACGGCCGTTTCGTCCTATTATGGGACTCCTCAGCAGTATGCATTCACGAATCCGCTCTCGTGAGATTCGAACCCAGGACCTACCAGTCTCGAGCCGCAACCTATTTTTTGTTGTATAAACACAATAACAAATTTATTTATGGACCAAATGTATCTTTTATTTATTCTTCTATTAGTTTATACATAGGACTACGGAGGTTTTTTATGTTAATAACTTTGCTTTCATGAATATTTTTTCACTGAGTTACACTTGATTAACTTTTAGTTAGAAAGTTTAAAAATTACAATTTTAAACATGATTATCAGAAGAGGGGGTTTTGTGGAAATTTGTTTAGTAATTTTATATAGTTGAAATTATGAGTCAATTGAAGCTAGATCATCAGGGAAAACCTGGAAGCACTGTACGGCTGTCTCGTCCTATTGTAAGACTCCTTAGCAGTGCTCATCCATGACATTAGTGAATGGTTGCTCAATTTCGTGAATTGATGGAAGTTGGATGCCGGTTTAGTGGTCCAGATGTTAAGCGCTCGCATGCGAGACTGATAGGTCTTCGATTCGAATCCCGCGAACGGGATTGTGGGTGTGTGCTTCTCAGGAGTTTCATATTAGGGCGAAATGGTCGTCCTTTGCTTCCAGGTATTCCATGGTGATCTAGCCTTGGTTGACTTATGTATTCAATAATAATAATAATAAATATTCTTAGAGATGTTGCTAAATTTTTTTATTTAAACAATCCAATTAACAATCTATAAAACAGATTTTATTTATTTTTTATTTCTTTATGTATAACTTATCAATAATGTAGATTCTTCAAATGATTAATAAATCAAAAGAAAAATTTTTTTTTCATTGATTGAATCATAAATTGTCTTCCACATTCAATGATATCAGAGTAATTCAATGAAGCAATCCCTGAATATATATACATACATTAAATCTCGTGAGTTGATTCTTCAACTCCTCGTCTAGATCATCGAAGATATTATTATTATTATCATTATTAAATCTGTTATCACTATCTATTCTCTTATTCTCTACGTTTCCACAGATCAAATCCATAGAGATTTATTTATTTTTCACATTTCATTGATAATATCTTCTCATTAAGCTTTGCATTGTATTCTGTATAAATTTTCATCAAAATTAAAAACAAACAAAAAAAAAGAAAAAAATGAAAGAAAGAGAAAAAAACAAAATTACAATAATCATTAAAAGATTTTAGAAAATTCAATTTGTGAAATGTTTTTCTCTTTTTTCTTTTTCTTTTTTTTCAAAAAAAAAGAAAAAGTAAAATCAAAATTGAAAAAGAAAACATTATTTAACTTAACAGAATTAATTATTATTTATATTATATCTATAGTAGTATTTGTATTTAATAATTGAATAAAGAAAGAAATCTATCTATTTATTTAACTATTTAACTAATTTCTATTTTATTTCATTTAAACAAAAAAAATATAATAATTCAATAATTTAATTGCATGTATGGTTTATTTGATTCAATGTAATCCTGTGTAAAAATTGAAAAAAAAATGAAAAAAACAATATCCCGCATTTCAATTATTCAATGTCATTTGTATCTTTTTTCTTTTTTTCTAAAAAAAAGAGAACATTCAATTATTAATTAATTAAATTTTCTTCTTCTTTTTTCTCCTTTTTTTTCTTTTCTATACCTATTTATTCTGCTTTGTTTTTTTTTTAAAAAAATATTTTACTATCATTTTTGCACAATAAATATGAATAATGAATAGTTCTTTGTTTTTCTTTTTCTTTTTGTTGATTTCTTTTCTTCGTTTTTTTCGTTGTTTGTCGGTTGATTATTCTATTATTATTATTATTCAATGTTTCAATTGAATATCAAATGTTTGAATGAATGAATGAGTTTCTTTATGTTTTGTTTTGTTTATTTTCTTTTTTCTTCGTTAATATGATATCAGTTTTTTTTTAAACATAAACGTGTTACTAAGGTAATATGATTTCTTTTTTTTTTGGTGAAGTGTACTTTTGCGAAGATCAATATTTTTTTCTTATTCTATAAGCAATAAAAATAATCAATATATATTTTCGAATAGAAAATTTTAATTGAATATATTAGAATAATAAAGATGATCATTATTATAGTTAATATGTAAACAATCCCTATCTTATATTATTCAATGACAGATTATGAACAATAAAATATAAATTAATTTTAAATTTTACTTATACATTGTTAAATATTTATGAGGATAATAAGCGAATATCTGGTTAGCGTTTTTTTAACGAGCTGGTTTTCTACGGGATGGGGTCTCTAACCTCATGACAAACCCTCCTCCTTTAACAGGGCTTAGGACCGGCAGCAGCCCCCGGAGGAGCTACAAGTGGAGTTAATAAGCAAATATCAGTATTGCGAATTTATTCATTAAATTCATGATTCAATTAAAGCTAGACCATCATTGTAAAGCTGGAAGCAGAGAACGGTGGTTTCATCCTAATATGGGACTCCAGTATCCATCCACGATCCTATCGCGCGAATTCAAACCTAGGACATAATGGTCTGGCTCGCAAACACTTCACTTGTAGACTACTAAGCCAGCATCCAACAGTGTGAATGTCTAACTTTAGGTTTGCTATGGTCGTCTAGCTTCAACTGACTCATGAATTCAACTATTAAATTGCTAAAATCTCCCTAATACTCCTTCTGATTATAAATTTACTTTATACTATGAACCACGTTAAATTAGGTATAAATGATACTATTCGGAAAGAATTATACTTTGCCTTGAATGCCATTTTTTGTAAATTCTTCATAAATACTGAAATTAAGTATGACTAATAAGAAAATTAGGAGGTCTATAGTTACCTATGAGTATGTTTCAGTGAAATTTAAATAAAAACTATAAAATCTATTCACTATGATTGTTGAATATATATTCTGATAAACTTCGTTTTATGTTGATCTAATAAGTTTTCAAAACATTTATTATAATGAATAATTTCAGTTGGAGATGCTTTGATTCAGAAAACTATTTTACTGTTCTGTGCAAATCATCCGAGTCTATTTTATGGTAAGATTAGATTTTACAAATCGTTCTACAAAGGCTAAATCAATCTGTTTTGATAAATTCGGTTATGATTAGATATCGTATTAGATCGATATTATCCTGTTGTTTCTTTTCATTCTCAGTGACTATATTTTGCCATTGTTATCAAGTCATGTATATAATTAATTAGAGTACTTTAATAAAATATGAAAACCATACATTAAATACATAATTTGCACGCCATTCTTCAGTTGTCATGTACATACTTCTTTATTCTTTAGATCGGATTGTCATTGCGATTTATCTCTGCTTCCAGCTCTCTTTTCTCCAATCCAATCTTCTGTTGCCACGCATCACACTTCCTATTTGTACTACATCATACTTTTACTTGTCAGCGTAAGTAGCAGAGACCATGATGCTTCCTAATAACTGATCCTAGCAACTTCTTCGTACCACAAATGTTATAAGCTCACCTCATTTGCTCGGTATCCAGCCTAGTAATTTCATGATGATTAACTCCTCTGTACGATCAAAAAGTCATTACTTCAAGTCATTTTAGTCATTTTCTTTGTTATCATATATGTAGTCTTATAAATATATGCAGTCTGTATTCTTTAGATGCTGCGGTATCGTAACTGTGATTAAATCTATCGAAGCGTCTAAATCACACAGTTGAGATACGTGTGAACTTGAAGTTCACAAAAACAGCAATTGGTCTAAAAAAGCAATTCTTTATTGCATAATATACATTAATTCGTTACAAACATTAACTTGTGGGGTATCTGTGGCGTTTACCGCGTCGGCAAGTCTGAAATAAAAATAATTTCCTTCAACAGTAACCTGAAGAAAAATTAACTCATTCGATAGTGCAAATGACAGCTGATACCTATCTAATCTTGATAATAGTTTGTCAACGAGCAAAAACGGAACCAAGAGCAAACAATATAGGACATGTTGCGTTTAAAAAAGGATTAAACGGCAATGCAAAAATTAAGGACAACTTCTATAGGAATTGACAGAAAGTAATCACAACGATAAATACAATAAATGTTATGAGTATATATCAAACATTTTAGAATATTACACAAGCTTGCGTTACAGCATACGTGTAAAAATTGCTAGGAATACAACTGTTTACTGAATATTAACAAGTAGTGTAAAACAATACACAAAGTGTTAAAGGGAAGAGAATAGGAACAGACAACGTAAACAGAATTAACAGGGATATATTTCTTCGTGCTTCGGCCAAAAAAATCAGTACACTGTTCATAGGTCAATATTTTGACACTGTGTGACATTGTACCTAAACTTAAACATGAGTTTCTAAGTGAATTTATGTTCCAATGATATTTACTACGTGAAATATAAAGTTTTCAGCATGGACAACTATGAACAGTTCATTTTTATAGTGCTGACCTACATTTTCTAGAAATCCTGCTTGGTTAATTTGTCCCTGATGTATTATGTCGTCGTTTAAGTCAACGATTTCTGCTCTTACTTAAGACAGTTTTTATGGTGAATCTTTTGGAAGTATTTGAAAACCTACATTTGCATCTAGTTTTCAAGATTCATATTGTGATGTTGAAAATACACCTTTAGATTAATAGGTGATATATACTAGTTGTTGTAAACTAGGATTGATACAAAAGGATCAGATTATTATTCAGTTTTCAAACTGGTTATTTTTAGTTGATCAACTGGTTATAAAATTGTACCCTTTTTCTTAGATATAACTTTTCCGATTACTTAATTCGTTATGCCCTTTGATTACTGATCACTATGCACAGTTTTCATCGATTTCTTTTCTCCAGCAAACCTAAGAGAACTACTTTCTTACAATAATTGCAATAATCCATATTTTAAAAACAGATTTAACATCTAAAGTCAAGGTTTACTTGTTTATACTTTTGCTACGTCGTGACTCTGTGTTCAACAACTGGGAAATTAGTTCGGCGAAACTAATGCTCTTAATGCCTTTAATGACAACTTTTTGTTGAATGTATATCGAATCAGTCTTAACATACAACTGACACTAGTTCTTCAATCTTCAGTAATTTTAGGTAGCTACGAATTAACTGTACAAGATAACCCCATTAAAGACCAAAATATTTTGTTCCGTACGCGAAATTCCAGCCCAAAGACACTCATTATTGTCTTGATAGATGAGAAACCGATTTCTGAGTGCTTTAGCATGATGACAAAAAAAGTTGAAGTGACGTGCTAAGTATTACCAGAATAATTCAATTCTTGGCAGACAAGGCTTGGCGAGCATAACTAAAAGTACCATATTTATAATTCAAAATATCTCTGGAATAACATACAAAGGAATCATTGAATAGTATAGATTCCACAATTTTTCGAATATTTTTAAAGAAGTTCTCTGTATCAGTCTGTACCGGTAAAGAAATCACCAAAATCAATAGCTCTGTAAGTCTTCGACATTTAATATTGTCTTCATTATTTTAACGTACTCACCTAGCTGAAGGCCCTCGGTCATGTATCCGCACCGGGTCATAAGTGGGTACGCCGTGTTCCACATTTTTTATGACCACTAGTCAACTTTGACTGACCAATTCTCGATATATCGATAGACTATCAAATATATCTTCGAACCTCTTCACTTCTGACTTTTGAGTTGACTGGGTTTGGCACGCTTCAGTCATAAAAAGTGTTACCAGTTAGGGTGCTGTCAACTTCCGAATATTTTGGGTATCTTTAAATCTAATCCATTTATTGAATTCATTTGAAATTCGTGTGACAGTACAAAGGAGTATAAGACAAAATAACAGATAGATAAAAGCCTTTACGGAGAGCATGTAGGTTAGCCAATGGTCTAGCTAAATGTATTGAGTATGTTTCCCTACTTATCCATTCGTAAGTGGTGATGGTTCAGTCTATTTTCAGTAGACTTGTAGTGACCTTTTCTCGATTGGTGTAACGGAAACAACTATTATTATAGACAATTGTACCAGTTATTGTTTTACTGTACTCGTTTTGTTTAACTGTATCAAAATCACTTCTCGTTCCGCTGTCCATCATGTTCGTGCGAACGCGCTTACGCTCTGTCATTTTGCCTGTAATCTTTGGCACGTCCCGGTATTTCTTCGATATCACGAGATCGCCAATAAATATACTTTATCTGGACCAGTTACAGCCTTCTGGTTTACGAGCTACCAAAGGAACCAAGTCGTTTTCAGGCGCGTAATCTTACTGTATTGGTGATCATAGTCGATCGAGACTCGACGCCATCTACAAACTATCGGATGAAGGGGATTCGAATTTTTTCTAGTATGGTTCATAATTCTGATGATGGTAAATCTAAAGTTACGTATCAGCCCGTTGAGATTATACGATTTCTGACATCCCAAATATCTACTTCCCTTATGTACAAAATAGAAGGTGTAGCTGTAAATAAATCCCTAAAATCAATAGCTCTCTAAGTCTTCGACATTGGATGCTGAACACATTAGTCTTAATGGACTCAACTAGCTGAAGGCCCTTGGTCATGCATCCGCACCAGGTTAGGAGTTGGAATGGAGTGCTCAACGTTTCCCGTGATCACTAGCCACCTCGGGGTGATCACTCCTCAATATACTGATAATCTATCAAATATATTTTTGAACCCTTTTCGCTTATAACCTACGATTTCACTGGGTAAGTGCGATTCAATTATAGGTGTGACTGGTAAAGTGTTATCGAAGCACAATAACTGTGTTATCTTCAGAGGAATCAACTAGCATGTTTTAGTTTTGAGACTGTGGACTACATTTTAGAATAAATTGTGAAATCGTGAAGGCCATGTGCCTACCAACTAAGGTCATTACTTGGAAGCTCTGTGGCAAGTTCCTCCAACATGCAGCAGACCTTTTGACCTTGTAGCTGTGAATAATTCCCCAAAATCAATAGTTCATTAAGTGTTCGACATTGGATGCTGACCATGTTGTTTAGGTGGACTTATTTAGCTGAAGGCTTTCGGTCATGCATCCGCACCAGATCACGTTTCAATACGGCGTGGGACACAGCTCCTACGTTTTATTAGCCAGCTCATAGAAAAGGTCCTCGATATATTGGTAACGAATCAAATATATCTTTCCTGCCTCTTCTCGTCTGGCTTCTGATATCTATCTGACTAGGAACGATCAAATATAGAAGGTGCTACTGGTAGCTAGTTGTAAAATTAGAACATCCGTTGCATCATCATTGGTGAGACCGACGTGATCTGGTACACCAAGTCAATATACTGTGAGTCTGTTCCATTTTGGAATATTATTATTCATT